CAAATACACACTTGTGTGGGTGTGTGGAGGCATGGGTAAGCTTTCCCTGGGTTTGTATTTGCTACAGTTTTCCAAAAATTGGCCAATGGGGGAGGGAGTATTTACTTTCTTTCTATGAACTAAGTTGTTTCATTTATTGAGTTAAGACAAATCAAGAAAAACATTATTTAACACTCAAAGGGCATATCTTGTAATTTGTCTTGCAAAAAATCCATCGGCCACAGGACATTCTCAAATGCATTAACACAAGCGAGGTCAGTTGGCAGATTAAAGATGTCCTCCCAGAAATGCATTTTTTATTCACAGCTTGGGCAAATGTACATGTACCTTAAAAGTTTGCACCTCTTCCTTCAACAGTGCAATGCTTTGAAAATGTCAAATAAACAACACACTAATGTGCAGTGAACTGACTGCAGCTACCACAGTCATAGCATGGCCAAACGGGCAAATGTGCTGCCACACGTTCATGGTTCATACATGTCATATGTATGTTGGTAAAAACTGTCAGCACACCATTTGTCCATTTCTCAAACACTTTTTTGCCCTAAAGAGGATGAGAGAAATACACATACATGTGATATGTGGTCTGCTCCAGCTAAAATTCGCTGAGCATTTATTGCCTTTTCTAGCAAGTGCTCGTTTTACACAGAAGTACATGTAAGTATCTTGCATATTAACATAATTACATGCCAGTAATCTAGAGTTTGACTTATTTAGTACCACATGTATAGTGTTGCTTTAAACATGATTGGAGCCCCAAAGCAAGAATGTAGTAACTATTGAAAAAACCACAATTGGTTTAGCAAGATATGATAAACCAGATTGGTTTAGCAAGTTTACCCTAAACCACTGCTAATGTGAGTCCAAAACACAAAATTATACAAATCTGTGGCCAAACTACAAGGGATATGCAAAAGTGCACAGTGTCAATTATCAGGTAGTGTATAGGATGTGCATTTGCTGCAATTTTCAATATTGGCCGATTTTAGGGCTTGTGTTTTACTTTGTGTATCATTCTCCGAATTTGATCCATTTTTTTAGATCACTGCTTTGAGAAAAAAGGAGAACAATGCAGTTTATTTTAAACTCTTGAAGCGCAGCTCGTGTAACTTGTCTCACAAAAATCCATGAGCCACATGACATTCCTGAGTGCTTGTATGATGCACAGGCGAGGTCGATCTGTATATTTTCATGGCTTCGCTGAGTACTACGTTGTAGTTGTTGGCAAATTTACCTTTGTCGAATAAACAATGTTTCATCTGGCAGTGAAGTGACTGCAGTCACCTCAGTCACTGTGTGACACATACTGTACATGTCCACTGTATATGTGCATGTACACATGCCCGATCAACCACACAGTCATTGTTCGCTTTCAACACGTACAAACGTCGGTCAAAACGTCCATACACCGTCAATTCCCACCATAAACACTTCATAAATTAACAATATGGTAAATATCATTGCATTTTGGGCATGAGAGTTACTGTTTTGGCAAAACAGAAAGCTAAATGCCTCGAAATTGGAGATTTTGTTTTAAAAAAACAGGCTTCAGTACGGACATTGAACCATACCATTATCGGGGAGATGATATATTTGCGTGAGGTAAACTTCCAAAGTTTCATACAGAAACTTTAATTTTAAATCAGTCCAAATTCTCCTTTTACGTGTTAGTTATGGTTATGTATCTATTCACTTGATGAGTTTAGGCTTACTGAAGGCGTATTGGCAGTTTGTATATTACCCGTTCATATAGACTCTTCCAACAGCTCAATACTTCACACAATACTTCAGTTTTGCTGTGCCTGTTAATGGTTGCGGTATTTGAACAAATTGTATTTTTCAAAGATTGTCCACCTGGGCAATCTTTTCAAAAAACATAAAATTTCTGTTTTCTCAAAATGACAGCATTTCTGGTGGTAAGATTTTACAGATTGTCTGACACTGTTATATACTTATTATACTTTTGAGATCTTGCAAATCCTTTACACTGCCTTTTAAAACTTGAGGATCAAAAGTCAAAACAAGACAGTGGCATGGAATTACCTTTGTAAAAGCCATTTTTGTCCTCGTCCAAGAAATTTAAAATGTTATGCCACTGGCAAAACCATGTATTGTTTGCTGACTGTAATAATTATGATTTACAGCTACTTGCCGTCCAACACGCAGATGCAAAGCATCTATACATGCCAGTTGTAATAAAGGGCTCTGTGTGCTTTCACATCATTGATCATTGTTCTTATATTTGACTTGAAAGGTACTGGTGCCAAGGAATGGACAATTGATATCACAAGTACATGTACAGCAAATGCTTTGGGCTAGGATGTTTGCCAGGCTCTTTTTGGGCTTCACCCCCTCACCACCTGTGATACAACCATCGCATTTTATTGAAAAAGGAAGAGGGATGCATTGAAGCTCATTACAACTTCAGCTAAGTTCATCCCCATATTAGCAGCTCTTGGGAAGGACTTTAGATATTCAGCTGATCTCAACAAGAAGTTAACAGAGTTTGTTTGCACTGTGTATCACAGTCTAGAAGTAAGTGTGAACAAATGCAGGAAGAAGTATGGCGAGGAGCAACTTTTCTCTGACAATGGTGCCTACTATCTCCATTTTACAAGAACTGGTTTACAATCAGCAATATTCATACAAGTGCTACAGCAAATGATCAATGCCCCATTTCCAATTGAGTTAAGGTGGCCAGAAGAGGATGGAGAGGCTAGCGTACAATTGTAGACGTGGAAACCTGCCATGCACGTGCCGCGCTTCAGTTGGTCAGTTGCTCTTATAACAACACTTGCTCTTCTAAGCAGGAGCCTCAAATGATCTGTACAGATTTGTACAATTGTGTTGGGTACAAGAACACTGACTGTAACCTCAGCAGTTATGCAGAAGTAGCTAACATAAACTTTCATGATTAGGAAACGAATCTGCTGCCTCAGAGGAACTATAGTGTGCTTGTTACTGTGCTGGATTGTGTTGTGATTCAGTTGGTCAGGCAACAAAACTTCATGTCAGGATGCTTTTTTTTTGAAGACTCGCATTGATGGGGGTTTTAGTGCATAATTCTATCTACTGTATAATTGCATCAATCTTGGTGGTTAGACAATATCTTTTGGCTGGAATAACAGTTCCTTGCTGTTACACATTATTTAATTTATTGCCATATGTAGCACCCCAGTCCGATATGTTGAAGAGTATTTGCCCCTGTAGGCAATGAAAGCCTAAATAATCTTATGTAAAATAAACTCTGAAGAGACTGTCAAAGTGTCATCAAATTTGTTGATACTTTCAGAATCAGTATTATTGATTCAAGTGACCTGTCAACTTTCAAAGTTCAATTGATCTTTGATAAACGTTATTCACACTTTTCTCAAGTTTACCATACCCGCTAAATAAACCAACATTGCCTTTTAAATAGATTAATTTTATATTGCTTTGGGAAGCCAGTGTTGTAATTTTGCATACCACAAGACTCATTTTGCAGCACCCGGTCGAATCTTTATGTGGAACTGGGTTCCACAAAACTGAGGTTGAAAGCATAGACAGAAGACACGGTAGCTTTCATCTTTATTTTTCTTAGGTTTTACCCAGTGAAACCTTAAGTTTTGATTTGATATCTCCTAAGCAAATGTTGTGAGTTCCTGATGCACTGAAGTTATGTTGCAGCTCCAAATACCATTGTTGGATGATAGGGTTAATTTGTATCACTATATCAACCAGATTACAATGTGATGCTGCACAGCAGTAGGGGCATAAACCCTGAGTCGTACATGTATATGGTGTTGGCCAATATACATGTATACTGAAGATCTTGTGTATTGTTGCACATTAAATGTCAGGCAACACACAACATACTATTAAATGTTCAGCTGGAAAACCAAGGTGTCTAAATTCTTAGAATCACATTCTGTTTTGTTTTGTTGTGTTTCTCCAGAGTGTTCAAGCTCGTAGTGAAAAGATAGGAGAAGAGGAGGTTCGATGTCAGGCCATGGCTGATGCAGCCCAGCAAGATTTGGCTGAGGCTTTGCCTGCACTAGAAGAGGCAGTCAAGGTAATGGCATTATAGTAAAGGGTTCAAGGATTTCATTTGCAGATTTCATTGTGTTGTTCAAACAGTGCTCTACTATCTTTGCCTAAAGTGTTGTTCTGTAAATGGTTACTTCTTAGGCTTTGGAATCCCTTAATAAGAAAGACATTGGAGAAATCAAATCATATGGCCGTCCTCCAGCATTGGTTGAGAAGGTGATGGAAGCTGTCATGATCCTGAAAGGAGCTGAACCTACATGGACTGAAGCAAAGAGACAATTGGGTAATTTTGTCATGAAAGCATCTGTTAGGGGGGGCTCTTGGTTCCGTACCCTCTTATATCTTCAGTTGTGGCTACTGTAAAGATAAAGCTTGAATAATATCACCTTTTAAAGGTTCTTTTCAAAATTGGAGACTTTGATTAGGTCAGGGGCTAATTTTAATCCCCAGCAACCGGCCAGAGCTGAGCTCCAATGGCTAGTTTACATCGTATAACAATACTTGGTTGTTACACTCATTTTTCCCACTCTCTCCGGGTGCTGTGGTATATCTCAGTGAGTCACGCATAGTTTGCCTGGGTGCCAATCCAACCCTCCCAGGCCTATTTTCTGTAGAATATTCACAGTAGTGTCAATACAGTGTTTTTAATCTTGAAAACTGAACAATGAAAATTCCTTCTGCCTGGATGCTGATCATTTCCACGGCCAGTTTTGGTGTTCATTTCTCATTTGTTGATCAGAACTTACTAATAGAACATCACGTTTCGTCCTCACTGACATATTTTCAAATATAGGCCGGACGCGGTGCTGACAATATCCAACCATATAATTCTAGGTCATTGCATGTGCTGCATGCTGAAGCATTAGTACATGTACGCTATTATGTGCCGTCTTGCACATTTGTTCTGCAGTGCTCATGTTTTGCATTGTTTTTCCCTGACTTTCAAGGGAAGCCAATCAGCAGGTTCATTTGAGCCTTGTATTGATTTATTCATATAAGTTCATGATATCACTCAGTTTAGAGTTGAAAACAAAAATGGCATCCCAATTTTGAAGTCAGAAAATTTATGTATAAAATGCCATGTTTAGGTGATTGTAACGAGACACACCAGTAGACTATTTCTAAAACAACTACCCACACCCATAATCAGATATTTGTAGAGCATTCCTCCTGTTAGTTTCTAGTTTGGGTGGAAATGGGCTGAAATCGCAGTGCTAAAGTGAGCAGAGACATACATTGTGACCATACCTGTGTGCAACAATGTATGACACAGTGTGGTTCCTGTCGTGGATCGTGACATTAACTCTGGAAGTTCTCAGAACCAAGAGTATATGATGTAGCACACTTCAACTCTCACTTGACTTTCTTTACATAGTGGTGGCAATTTTCTTTGTTGAAAAACTTCAAACCGAGTAGGTTGAATGCTAGTACTGTTGCCTTCATGATACAATTACCAATGTTGATGGGATGGTTAAGTGTCCTGGCTAGGTGGGCTCTATGGCGGGTTTTGTTTAATTTAATTAATTTTTTTTGTTCAACAGTTAACGAACAACATCTATTACATGGATCAGATAACAATTAAACAGACAAAATTAAACATACACGTCACAGGCTTTGTGAGGTGTGAGCGGTACTTACTGTACATTTTCAAGTCTATTTGGTCCCTCTGAACTGGTTTCCTTTATTTCCAGCACGTGGGTAGAGCAAATGTAAATGGCAACCAACGAAAGCATGACTGCCTTGTCCCCGGCCAGAGTGCCACACCACTAGCATGTGGCCAGCTGGTGGGTGGTCAGCCTGGGCTAGGTTGCACTCAGGCACGGCACGACATCTGTGACTGATTTCATTCCTCAAATGTTGCCATATAAGTCACCCAAAGTACAAGCCATAGGGACATTTTTCGGTGTGAGAAATCAAATGCTCTACTAGAGACAGAAGTTTAATATTTTGTTGAACAAGATTTGCATTATTGTATTGAGACGAGCTTGGGTAGAATGATGCCATTTGCATGAGATTTTGTAAAACAAATACAACATTGAGCTGATATTATTATACTATGTAAGCTTCAGTTGCTATTTGAAGCCAACAAATCTGCTGCCTCTGTATGAAGGAGCTCATGTGGACTATTCACCCTCAAACCTTGTCATGTGAAAATGTTTCAAACTTTTGATAAGAGGGTGCAGTCAACAACACAATGGGCTTGAAAAGTCTGCTTATGCTAGCTGTATTTATGTTTGTTTTAGTATACCAATAATGAATGTTTGTGAGTTTAATGGTAATAATTTTATGAAGTGACAAAAAAATTCCATTGTTTTAGGCAAACAGATGATCAGAATTTATGCAGGTATTGTATGATTGTTTATATTTCAAGATAGCATTGTAATATTGACTTTGGTAAATAAGCAGTATTCTGCTGTTGCAGTAGTCAAGTTTTGTCATACGTGTTGTGGTCCATGTTGAAAAGGAAGGGTGCAAACTCACAAAGCTTAATTAGAACTAATGACGAGTCAAGAAAGTACATGTACCCTACGTCTGTTGGATGATATGGAATGACTTCCCAAAGCAAGTATAATGCTTAAGATTCAGAACATATAATAATTCACTCATTGTTCATAGTGTCACTCAATTAGAACAGTAAGCATACTCTTTTACATGGAGGAGATGAAAAACATTATTGTTAGGAAATTTTAACAATATCAGGCCAAAATGACAACTTTTTGGAGGGTGGGGTGAAGGGGCTCTTCATATATTGTAAGATAAAGCCCAGAGAAACAGTGGATCCATTTTGTCAGTTTTTATAATTGACATCACAGGTTGCAGCCAGCAATTTGGAAAAAGCTGATACTTGAGCTACACATAAATGCACACTTTTTCTGCCACTTACATTTATGAGCAGTGCTAACTGCAGTTTTTCTCCCACCAGTTGCTCAAAATTGAAGCTAAAGTTTCTGAAGATTGTTTGGCAGCAGTGGCGACTGACAGCCTGATATGAAAATCTTGGAGTTCATTTGTTGTGTTTCTCTTTCTCATCTAATAATCATATCAGGAAACCAGAATTTCATCAAGGAACTAATAGAGTTTGATAAGGACAACATGTCAGATCGTGTTTTGAAGCGTATTGGCCAGTACTGTGCACAACCTGACTTTCAACCAGACATCATTGGACGTGTGTCAGCCGCTGCACGCTCCCTTTGCCTGTGGGTACGGGCCATGGATGTGTATGGCCGCATTTTCAGAGTTGTGGAGCCCAAGAAGCAACGCTTGAATAATGCAATGGCCATGCTTGCTGAAAAACAAGCAAGTCTGGCAGATGCAAAAGCAAAACTCAAGGAGGTAAGCATTTGGATGTTTCTATTTGTTGAAAGGTTGTCAAATGCTTGAAAAGTATCTGCTATAAGCCAAGCAGAAATGTGCCAATGTTTGTATAAACTATTAAATGGGTGGACCACTGCACATGTAGAAAGATTATCCAGACGATTGGAAATTTCTGTCATGTTCATTTTGTAATCTTTTTAAGGGGGGCTCAATTAGTCAAAGCTCACGTGTTGTGGTGTGTGTTTTTGTGTGGATGTAGGTTTTTAATAAACTTGAATTGCAAGTTTTGTCCAATGTAGAAACATTCTAAGTGAATGATGTCTTCATCACATTCGTACAATACTGAAAGTAATCATAGAATTCAATATTCACTAACTAACCTGGGGATGTAGATATAAGAAGGGAAATTCATTTAAAGATATTTTACTTCTGAAGGTGACAGATAGAATGGAGATGCTGAAGAAGCAGTACGATGAAAAGTTAGCTGAGAAAGAGCAGCTCCGTGTCAAGGCAGAATTGATGGAGGTCAAACTAGAAAGAGCTGGAAAACTGGTGTCTGGATTGGCTGGAGAAAGAGACCGCTGGGAGGAGAATGTTAAGGTGAGGTTTGAAACATTCCATTATGGGTGTGACTTTTTTTTTAATACAGGAAAACATGCACAGCTAATTTATTTGCATTTTATCTAACATGTGTTTTGGGGTTATGAAAAGTGAAAATAGTCCATGTCAGAACTGAGATGCTGTCATTCATTTCGTAGCAATGATCGATTTCGTAGCAATTAGCATGAGAATGTTGCAGAGATCATTTTAGGACACTTAATCAGCGGAAAGAGGGGAAAGTGTTATTGTCTGGCCTTTTTCACGAACAAGTATGAAAATGCTCATGCTCAGTGACACTATAGAACAGGACATTTGGATTGTATACCATGATGTGGAAAATAAGTAATTTTAAGTTCGGTTATCAAGTTTGAAGTTCTTAGCAGACTTGGTTTTTTTAATTTCTGAAAAAAATCTGTTAAAAGATTATTCTCATCAGCTTTATTTTTTTTTGTCCTTTGAAAAAGAGTGACATTTTGTATTACATTAACCACATCGCGCTGGGGATATTTATGAATGTTGATACTACTGGGACATGATCATTATCATTTTTTTCTGATTTCAAAATTCTTTGAAAATTCATGTCTTCATTTGCTGGACACTTAACCCACATGAAGGACCATCTCGTTTCTACTCTAATCTGACAGACAACATCTAATGACACTGGAATATTTCAGCCAGGCCTGCTGCCTTGTAAAAAGAGCCCAGATTGTGCGGTGTTGCGTAATTTTCTTTTGTTCACGAAACTGGCACAGATTAGCGTGTAGCGGTACTGTGTGGCTCATCGCTGTGGTGGAGCGCTTTTGTCCCTGGTGGTAATCCCTCGCACTGAATGCCCAAACAATGGTATACTGCAGCCTGGTCTTTTGTTACGAGTACAGTCTTTTGTTACAAGGCCCAGTTCTCTTTGTCCAATTCGGAGACCCTGACTATAAAGAACACGTGCCAAAAACCGGGCTCCCCGGCAGCAAATGGTTAATGCTTGAAAATTTACATTTTTGGTTGGTCCTTTGACCTTGCCCATTCTTCAGATTTTTCTCAATTTTGCTTTCGTGTGCCTGATGCATACTGTACCTGGTTAGTGAAAAAGCCACGTCAGATGTTAGCATTTCTTGACAAAGAGGCACTATCAATTGTTGGGCTCTGCAGGTTATGCACAATGGCATTCTGGCAAGGCTGTGTTCTTGTTCTGCAAGAGTTGCAAGAGTATTCATTTCTGTGAACATGTGGATTTCATTTGGATCCGGAGGAATTTCAGCTGTTCGTAGCAATGAGTAACATGCTTAAAATTCTACACACCCCGTGTAATTATATAAGGATATCCCAAGTAGAGTCACAAATATTCAGTATATAATAAAGATATTCAATTATAAATCTGCAGTGGTTTTGTTGAAACAAAGTTTTTATGATTTTTGTTTTTAGGTTTTGGAGGAGAACATGGTGTACTTGGTTGGTGATTGCCTGGTTGCTGCTGCTTTCTTGTCATACACTGGGCCTTTCTTGTCAGAGTACAGAGACTATCTTGTTAAGGAAGTGTGGCTGAAAGAGGTATGTACTCATAACTGAGGTGTCATTACACTAGTAAAAAATAATGTCAAATCTCTGAAGCACTTTTAGTGAAAATGCACAAATATACAAATCTATTAAAATGTAGAAAGGCCAACGGAAAAAAATTTATGTGTGTATACTAGTACATATCAGTTTCAACCCTTTAAACAGAAAAAATGATGCGATAGCCATATTGGCTTCTAATGGGGAAAAACCTAGGTGCCAGCACTTTTATGAACTTAAGTAATCAATTGGCCCCTACCACCATGTACTGTGCATGTATCGCAATCACGATCTGCATGAGGTACAAATCAATGCAACATATGTTGCTGATGCAGCTGCACACAGACACCAGGGCCTTTTCTAAACCACGGCTTGGGTTCCATTTTTTGCTGCTTTTTTGCTGCAGCATAAATGAAGCCTGAAGCAGAGCTCGTTCCAGAATTAAAGGGTGTTGCTGTGATTTAGAGTGTGTCAGAAATAGCACGATTCATGCAGCAGGGCGTCCCACGACACCCTGAAACCACGGACTTCGTGACATCTGTGGCTGAAACCTCTTGGCAAAAAGCCTTGATTATGTCAGTGGATTGACCTCATGAGTAATTATTACGAAAATATAGTGGCACATTGTGTGGCGTATGTGTGTCGGGCCCAGTGTTGTAGGTCTCCAGACCAGTCTCGGTCTCAGTCTCGGTCTCGATACCCATTGGTCTGGGTCTTGATCTCGGTCTCGATACCCAGTGGTCTAGGTCTTGATCTTGGCCTTGGATATTGGAGGTCTCAATATTTTCCCTGGTTTCGAGTCAAGACCAGTTAAAAAACTAAGATCGACACCATACTATGCGCCACTGATGTATCATAACACTGCTATCCAGGAACTCATGAAGTACATATACGCCCTAATGAGTAATGACCAAAGTATTCATCACAAAGGTGTCTCTCTGTCCCCAAAATATTTCTTTGAAGATTAATTCTTATGTTGTGCCGCTTCGTCAGCACATTGAAAGAGCACGACAAATGCTTCCTTAATTAAAACTGGACATAGTAACCATGATTGTGCTGTTATATTCATTTTGTTTAGGCTCTGCATTTATTTGAATTATGCAATTTAAACACAAGGTCTTGAGGTCTCAGTCTCGGATGGTCAGGTCTCGGTCTTGGTCTCAGACTCTCAGGTCTCAACTACAACACTGGCCAGGCCGGGTCATAATTCCACAGCATGGATGAACGGTGTAAACACAGGCTATTTATACAAATCACGATGCGATTTGCGCTGTCATTTATACCTTTCCAGATCAAATTTTGAATACAAAATCATTGCTTTTTGTATTTTTACTCAAAACTGTTCAAGCACGTTCATGTAGTTTTTAAGCTATCTCAAGTCGCAAATGGTGACTGTATGGTGAAAACATGATCGCATTGGTAAAAATATGCGACTGATTTAGGCACTATTTAAAGTGCTCATCAGTTTGCAATCTCAAAAAGTGATATGTCTTACCTGTAAATGTAGTTGAAAGTGACATGCAACTCTGATTGTGTTATTGATGTTATTATTGAGCTGCAACTTTTCAAAAAGTAAAATGAATTGAAAAACACAACTTGCAGCATGGTTCAGATAGACTTGTGTTTTTAAAAGTTCAATCTTTCCAATTTGATAAATGTTTATTTATTTAGCAGAGCAGGACAGATTTGTTTAATTATGGGTTAAAGGACTAACTAAAGTCCTTTCGTATTTTTCTATAGGGATTAACACTATGGATACACTCTGTTGAAAATCCTGGGCAGGCCTTCACCACATTTAGAGGACAATTTCTTTTGTTAGACAAATTCAGACTGAGATATGGGGACATTGCTTTGTCCCCACAATGTTTTTAGTTCCCACAAAATTGGTGTAATGATGAGTGTTTTCCCCACAACTGTGGAAGAAGTACATGTATGTGTGCACTGTTGTGGGCAGAACATTAAAGGAGACGGTTGGGCAGCTTGGGCTGCACAGGTACTGAAATAAAGGATTGTGAGGAAATACGTATTTTTGGGCTCATACAACTACGTGGTGAATCTTTTTCACATTTGTTTCATGCTGTAGGTTCGTAAACTGAATGTCCCATGTAGTCCCGATTTTAGCTTTGCAACTTTTCTATCTAAACCAACTGCTGTGCGTGACTGGAACATTCAAGGACTACCAACAGATTCCTTCTCTACTGAGAATGGCGTTATTGTCACCAGAGGAAACAGGTAAGATTAGCTTTTTGTTGTTGTTTCTTATGTCCTTCAAATAGTGATCCAGGGCAGCATAGTTTTTCAAGTGTCTATTCTTGTTAGAGTGAATATCTGTATGGTTTTGTGGTTGAAATGCCATAAGTTTGTCCTTTAATTTCCTACAGCAGTATGAGACACATTGTTTTGGCAAAATTCACGTGCAGTGCATACACGCACACATTTGCGTTTTTTTGGCAAAGAGCAAAATGAAATGCTTGTTTACTGATTGTGCATTCAGATTGTTTGCATATTGATTTGCTGACGTACATGTATTGATTTAGAATACAGACGTAGATATGCAAATAGCCATACAAAAGCCATACAAAATTTTGAGTTTTCCGTAGTTTTGTGCACAAACATGGATGTGCCCAGCAGGTGTCACTTCGTACATGAGTCAGCACTCTACTTTTGATTTATAGCTTTATGGCTCACACACTCTTCATTACCTCACAAGTGCAATACGATATACAAGCTAGCTGTGGGAATATATGCTAATTCAAGTTATCATATGCTATTGATATGACTTGAACATACACAGTTGGGGATTTTTTACACCACTAACAAGCAAGTTTGGCAAGCGGCTAATTCGGGAACAACTGTTCACTGTCTTTTCAAATGAAGACCTGTTTTACAACCTTGGAAATACATGCTTACATGTAGAATGATAAATAGATAAGTTTGTAAAGTTGTACATGAGTTGTTATCATTTAAGTTACTTACAGAAATTGGTTACTTTAGAGTTAAAACTGAGGTTAAACTTAAATAAATTTGCTAAATGCAAATTTTCAAAAGAAAAACACAAAAACGAATAAAAATCATACATTACAGTTATCGTATAAATGTTAATATCAATAGTAAAAGTGAAAATATTTTGAAAGAATAGGTCTCTCTTAAACTAAGTCATTTCAAATTTTTATGACACACTCAGCTACGTACTATTTTGAAGATATTTGGAGGAACAAGCTCACGTTTATAGAACATGGGCGCACGCAGCTGATAACGTTGAATACACAGTTATACTTTTCCTATGAAGATGATGTCCTATGAGCAGGGGTGTGAGATCTCCACTTTTGATTTCGGCTTTTTTGTTGAATATGCCGAATTTCATTTTCCACTTTTTGACCACTGAGGGGCGAAATTGTCCTTGTTTTTCTTTCCTGTGCAAGCACCAATTTTTCCATTTTTCCTTGTGAAGGTAAATTGTTCTTTTCCTGTGGCTACAATGTATGTATTTATTCACTCAGAATGTATAATAAAAAAGGATTGGTTTCAGTGGCTACAAAGAAACAAAGAAGAAAAGAAAACAAATCAAAAGTGAATTCTCAAATCAAATCAAAGTGATCAGTGTAGTCAAAAGGGAAATGGCTAATAGGCAGTAACAAGAACATAATAAAGTTTCTCCAAAGTCATGACAGCATCCTTCATTAAGTATAGTACTGGTACATGAGAATGAATTGTTATTATTGCTATTATTTATTTGGCATTAAGAGCAATAACATGAACAATACTACTCACTAGTTAAAAACAAGGACAAAACAGTGCCTGCAGTACCATAGATGCCAAGAGAAGAAAAAGTCAACTGAATGACTTTAGCCCACAGGCCTTCTCCTCCAATACCACATGCATCATATAAAAATCATATATATATATAATTATACACATGAAGACAAAAAGAATAATTAAAATACTAAAATTAACAGGGAAATACAAAAATAAGAGAACCCTAGAAAGTATAGTAAAACATAAAAATAACTCTGATAAGAAAAACTTGAAGAGATACCATTGCACTGAAATTAGTAACCAAAGGATCATTCACCAAAAGGATGGCATTCGCAGGTAAAATTAATAATGCACACGCACAGTTGTACAAAGAAAATGTCTGATTCGCATGCAAACAGATGGGATTTCAGGGAAATGGTTCAATGGTGAAGGGACTGTTCAACCACTCCAGCACTCAGTGATTCAGGTAGTTTGTGGTCACATATGCACAAAAGACATTCACTGTTGAAAAGTGAAGCCTTTATGTTTGAGCCCTGAGGTGGTTAAACTTTACTATTTCAACATGGCATCTGTTGATGCTTATGCGGAGTTCCTGGGGCCTTGAAAAGCCATAAAAAGTCACAGAAATTTGCTTTTTCTTTTTCAGGCCTGAAAAAGTCATGGAATTTTGTAAAAATGATTACAGTCATGAAAAAGTCATGGAATTTTGTCATGGAAGTCATAAAACACTGTGTGATTTCTATCATCGGAAATATGTGCATAAAATCTGTGATTGTATTTGCAACCTAAAAGGCCGGATAGTCCAAGAAATTCCATTATTTGGTTGTGGATATTCATAATTTGGTCATGGAAAAGTCATAATGTGTCAGGGTACTCCATCACCATTCTCTTCTGCTTAAGTATTATTCTAGTAGCTCTATGTTGAATTTTCTTTACTTTGTCACTATGATTCTTATCATACAGGTACCAAATAGGCTGGCCATATTCAAGAACAGGAAGAACCATAGCCTCATATAAAGCAAGCAGGGTGTAAATGAATCCCAACAAGTTGTTAGCTTTGATTTTAATATATCAAGCCTCCTGTGGTCCTGCCTGGTGTTTATTACTGAAGTGTATTTTAATTCAGGACATGGTATGTAAATATTTCAAATCATACGTATGGATGAACTATTTCGTACGTACAGATTATAAAACCATGCATATCTCTATGTGGCATTGCATGACAGAGTATACCTCAGTTCAATGGGACCCGAGGGTGTACCCCTGTAAGTAGGCCAGAAATATGTGTTTAGCTCATTGCTTAAAGTTATACACTCAAATATTCTATATTACAGAGTCCTGAGAGCCTTGGAATTGGGAGGAATCAAAGAAATGTGACACTGAACCTCTTGCCTGGATGAAGGGCTTCAAATTGTGCGCAATTTGGATGCAAGCGGGTCCAAAAATGGCACTATTTAGCTGTTTCGTGGAGGGATGCATTTTCCAAATGGTTACTTTTATAGGCATGGGAATTTCCTTTATTTTAGGGGTTGTCTGCTTTGGGTGAGAATTTCTCAAAAAGTCATTGGTCAACCCAGTAAAAATTAAAGGAAGATGGAAGAGGACATTTGGAACATCATTTTTCTGTCCATCCAGGACACCTGTGAGAGATGGGAGTATTCTTTAAATAATTTTGAAATATAAGGATTTATCATTTGTGTCTATGGGAATTTATTTATAGGGGTGCCCCACCAAAGGAGCCTCTGTCACAAGGAAAATAGTTCCTTCTCTTGGTCTTCCTTGGGGTCTAATGTACTGAGGTATACTGAGTCATACAATGCAACATTCGGATTACTAATCCGTACATATGGTATATTAATCCATTCATACAAAATAGTAATTCAGACATACGAAATAGTAAACGTACGTACAATTTAGTAAACTGTACATACGATTTAGTAAACCATACATATGATTTAAAATATTTTCATACCATGTCCTAAATACACTTCTGTAGTTTATAAACACTCCACTAGAACTTAGAATGCATGGCTGTCCCCCCCAGGACAGAGAGATGGTGTAGTGACAACGTATCGAATATTGCCTTAGTATGGATATGCAATATACCTACTCAGCATAAGCACCACAATATTGATATCATTGATACAAGTCTTTTAAGCGATAAACTAAGAGTTGAGACTACAATCAATGCTCCACAGTACAAGCTGAGGTAAGATGAGACTCCGGTTAGATGAGCATATTTTGCCAAAGGGAAAAAATGCATAATATGAGCTTTGGGTGTTACGAGTTTTCAGTTAAGACTAGCATTTATTGTGCTCCAGCTGACTGCACATGTATTGTTATCTGTGTATTTAGTGCAAGCTTTGTTGAAGGCAACTTGTCAATCAGCCAGTCCATTTAATTTTTCCATTCAGACACTTCCATGATTTATTCGTGTACAGTAGTACAGCGCTGTGGTTTTCCCTCACTGAGTTGAGCTGTTTGTGTCCATTGCCACAAGAGAGACGAACAGTGGGCATTTGCAGTTCCCGTACCTAACGAAGAAATTCTTTGTGGCGGCTTTTGATATTTAGGACAGTGGTGAACAAAACAAATCATTCGTTTGATTCCCCCACCCCAAAAAAACTCTCCAAGACCAAAGTCCCAAAGTAACCAAATACCCGGCCCGATAATATGCCCGCCCCCATCAAAAAAAATTTACCTGCTTCCCACCGTAACATGAAAAATATCGCCCCATCTGTTTTTGAAATTTCAATAAATTCTCAATTGAAGAAAATCATGAGTGAACCTTGGTTTTTTAGTCCAAAAATAAGAAAATAACATCCACAAGTTTTTGAAAAAAAAACTGCACCCCTTACTAATAAAAATTACAGTCCGATATTCGCCCTCTACTGTACACACCACCAATAGCGGGTGTCCTCCCATTTTGTATGTGCAACAAGCGCAGCTCTGGTGGTGGTTACGCGCATGGATGTAGATCCCATCCGGCGTACAGGGGACATGTGAACATGCACAAGCTAATTTAGTAAGTCCCAATGCCTTTGTATAACGAGAGTCGACTGTTCATATGATTATACAGCACTAAGGTTTCTGCCTTAATGAACAAAACTAAGCATAGCGAACAGCACTACGAATAAGAGTTTTGCACATATGCATAAAGGAAATACAAAATAATTGAAATGACATGATGACTTCTCATGAACAAACAGAACTCTATCATTGCTGGCAAAGCAAATTCACTATACATTCTCAAGATCAAGGTTTTGAGTAAATAATAGTTCCTCTGTGTGACCATCATAAAAATAGCTTACACTTACATATAGGAAGCTAAACAGCAGGTTAAATCAAGCCAATAAAAACAATGTGATCTCGAGTCTTCCAAGCTCAAGAAACTTACTTTTACCCTGTAAAGACTGAAGTACAACTGTATACATTGTATAAAACCAAAAATCGATGCTGAAACTGGAAGGTCAGTGAATCCCACATACATTCAAGAAACTGGAAATATGTGAACATAACTAGAAACTTTCTGAAAAATCTTCACTGCAAAATGTCTCGTCTGTGGACCTTCTAGTATACATGTACACTTAAAATACATATAAGAAGCTCTTCTTCAAACAATGATAAAACTGCCAACTCACCCAAAGATCCTCAAAGAAATTTTCTGAGTATAGGCGGAGGACTTGTTGGTCACAAGAGGAAGACACATGTGTGCATGTACCAGGCTAGCATCAGAATGATGATGTGGCAAGCTGAGCCACATGGACAAGAAGACAGTGCCATAGGAAATGGCCTGTGATACTTAATCATGTTGATTGACTGTTCATAAGGTTTACTTGGAAGGGTCTCTCCACCTGTTGCATGTGCATGCATTGAGTAAACCTAATGAATAAGGCATTACTTAATACAAAAAGGTGAAACAGGCAAAGGAATAAAAACACACTAAAATATGAAAAAAATTCTATCATTTTTTTTAATGAGGCAATGTGACAGGCAGGCCAAACTTCACATGTCCTCTTTCCGACATTGACACAGTACTGAAGCGCTGTACCCACGCTGCTGGATCTACTTGTACTGTACAACACGTGCACATGGACATGCGTATGGTATACGTGTATGTGGACATTATTTGGTGCAGAGCAAGCCATGTGTGTGAACAGCATCCTCAGACTGTCTGATATGTGCTATGAATGGCTGCTAATGAAATATCAATATGTATGTGCCCATGGGACTCATTACAGCTCTTCCTGCGTGAGTAGGAGTAGTAACTAACAAGCCTCATTATAACTTGTGGTTCATTTCACTGTAAATTTGCGGCTTGAAATAAGCTAAGTAAATTTTTGCTGATACAGGGCTTCATGATAAGTGACTTGTGCAGGGCTCACCAAGTTCTTGTGTCATGCATTATTGCACAGTTTTGCATCATTTTGTACAGGCTTTCAAACAAATTGGGGGATATAAACTCATCAACACAAATGCACACTTGTCCAAAGAGGTTCTGACTTCGATACAGTCTTTGACAAGACCAATCCTTAAGCTACAAATCCACGGAAATGGATGTGAATGAAATACACCATAACGTTTGACGGGCAGTTGACACAATCTGTGTCGGGATCAGAAAATCGAAAAGCTTGGACATACTTGTATGATGTGCATTTTTTTGAAGAATTGAAATTTTGAAAACATGGTAAGATCAGGTGGGAAAAGGGCCAACTTGCTCTACAAATGATATTTACAATTTTGGTTTACCTACATGTGTTACTAGTTCATTTTAATCTTCAGGAATATCAGCCAAATAAGAACATGATGAAGAAAATCTAAAATTAAAAATCAAATATGCATAGCCTAAATTGTGTGACAAAAATAGTGAATAGTTGCACCAGGAGACTGTATAATGCACCACCGAGCATTTGTATTTCAGAATTGTCCTGGGGCCCCCTTCAGGGCCCTTGAATCCACGCCACATATGTCTCACGCTTCACACTCACAATTTCAGCTATTTTTTTCCTTCGCTCACACCCCTGTGTGAAAGAGATCTAGAATGCAGTTTTAAACTCACAAGTGATGCATAAATGCATAGCATTGGAAAATATGTTTTATTTTTATTTTGTTGATAGATGGCCATTGATGATAGACCCCCAAGGTCAAGCTATTAAATGGATCAAGAATATGGAGGGGAAACGTGGCCTAAAAATTATTGATCTTCAGCAGCATGATTACCTACGAACATTAGAGAATGCCATTCAATATGGGCTTCCTGTACTGCTACAAAATGTGCAAGAAGAGCTGGATCCATCACTGTCACCTATACTAAATAAATCAGTCATCAAACGAGGTTGGTACTGTGACTAACAGATTTTGCTTGCCGGGGTCAGCTGGTCGGTTTGAGTCAAATGAAGCAGCGGGTACCGCGAACTATTTTCAAGGTGTATTTTTGCGTTGGGGAGATGTTGATTATATATAACAGGTTTGCCCTTACCCAACGTATATTAATAAACACTGTATGCTCAGTGCTTGTCCGAGGGCTTGCGAAAAAAAAACTCACAAGCTTACTCGGGTGGGACTCGAACCCACGACCTTCTGCTTATTAGTGCAGATGTCTTAACCACTCGACCACTGAGCTTGCCGGGGTCGGCTGGCCGGTCCGAGTCAAATGAAGCAGTGGGTACCGCGAACTATTTTCAAGATGTATTTTTGCATTGGGGAGATGTTAAAATAGTTCGCGGTAGTCGACCTCGGCAAGCTACCGCTGACACCACTACCACAAAGAAGACCTTTGGGCTAATACTGACCACAGTCGTATTGTTCAACGTTATGTTTGGTTTGTTTTATTATATTACAAGAATCAGGATAATTCACACATTGAGAAATGTCATTAGTTAAAAAAGGTCCAGTGCTTCACATTCACAATTTGGTCACCTGCTATCTTGTATGAAGAAGTGCATTACAGAGCCATTTAGAAGGCAACTGTGTATAGTTCATTCATTTCCAACCAAAAAGAGTGACTATATATAATTCTGATGCACTGGTTGAATAACATATGTCATGGGAAAAATAATTCACTAATTAGTTAACAGAATTTATTCAGTTGTTTAAATGTATTTGTGAAATTTGTTTAGTGATATTTGTTGTAGATTAATATTTATACCTGTTTTAAATGTCAAATTAATAGGTGGAAGACTCATGATCCGTCTTGGTGATAAGGAACTGGACTATAGCCCTGATTTCAAGTTCTACATCACAACCAAGCTGAGTAATCCCCACTATACACCAGAGATTTCCACCAAGACAACCATCACAAATTTTGCAGTGAAAGAGCAAGGCCTTGAGGCCCAGTTGCTTGGCATTGTAGTTCGCAAGGAAAGACCAGAACTGGAAGAGCAAAAAGATGCACTAGTTATGAACATTGCTGCTGGAAAGAAAAAACTTGTGGAACTGGAGGATGAAATACTTCGGTATGTAAACTTTGCGCGGAAATGGATCTTTGACATTCTTTAACATTTTCCAGCATACTTGTAAACCTTTTGCATCTTTTTAAAAATATCCCCATGTTGAGTTGAATTTGTGTTACCTCCTGGATGTTGGCTGCTGTAGGTTGCTGAATGAGGCTCAGGGATCTCTTCTTGATGATGAACAGTTAGTTAATACCCTCCAAACATCCAAGAAAACTTCAGAAGAAGTTGGTGAACAGCTCCAAGTTTCTGAACAGACTGAGGCCAAGATTGATGCAGCCCGAGAGGTTAGCTATTTAACAAGTGATTACAGCTGAGATGTGGGACATGGGCATCGCAACCAAAATAAAGGATGCCATATTTTCCACCAGGATATTTGGAAAACTATTGCAAAAGCAGTGAGCATGTTTTCTTCTAAGTCACAAACTTGTCTCACTTCAGAAATGCCTGAACATTTTCATACTTTGGACTTTGGCATAATAGTCTGAAGATCAAAATGTACATTAATTATAAAGAGGAAATACTTGAAGTAGTTTGTAGAATGTTTCACAGATCTCAAAAAGGTTTTAAGAAACCTGTTGTGGATGACTTTAGTACTGTCTAACTAGAAAACATTGCTTACATTTAATATGTCTGAGAATGAGCCATTTCGGTATTTCAGAAAGCCATGGTCTTTTGGGGACCAAAGCACCCATGTGAGTCAGTGTACCAGTATGGTTACACTGATAGGACAGATTGTCACACGCATGTGTAGCTGTTCCCAATTAGCCTAGTACTGGGTATACACTGTTGGAAACCTAACTGGCTCATTACCTGCAGTAGAAAGTCTAAAGCTTGAATTTGTAAAACATATACAATGCTCAATTTCTCAAGTTTCTGTTGATTACTTTTGGTCCTGTGAATAAGTGTTGAGGATATCTGCTGCTCCATTCATCCCAAATGGTGTGTGGACAGTGATTTGATTTTTCTTTATTTCTTTTAGAAGCAAACTTCATCTCAGACAATGGACAAAATCTCTATATCTTTAACAAGCACACATTTGTGGTTAGGTACTCTCAAGTACGTACCTTATTTGTATCTTTTCTTTCCACCAGGGTTATCGTCCATGTGCCCAACGTGCATCCATTCTCTTCTTTGTCCTCAATGACATGGGCCGTATTGACCCCATGTATCAATTTTCTCTTGATTCTTACATTGACTTGTTCAATATTTCTATTGATAAAAGTCAGCGAAGCCCACAGCTTGAATCTCGAATTCTGAATCTGAACGAGTATCATACATATGCTGTGTATAGGTGAGTGAGCTAACTTGATCGATCTTTCACAGTTTCAGTGATTAAGGTTTATAATTAACCACTACGTGCTGGGGGCATTTATAAATGTTGATGATGCTGGGACGGGATAATTTTCCTTTTTTTCTGTTTTCCAAGTTCTTTAAAAATTCATATCTTCATTTACTGGACACTTACACCCACATGAAGAACTGTCTTGTTTCTACTCTAATCTGACAGACAGCATCTGTTAACGCTGGAGTATTTCAGCCAGGCCTGCCGCCTTGTAAAAAGAGCCCAGATTGTGCGGTGTTATGTAATTTTCTTTTGTTCACGAATCTGGCACAGTGCGTTGCTGACCTCTGTTCAATAGGGGCCAGATTAGCATGCAGTGGTACAGTGTGGCTCATCGCTGCAGTGATGGAGCGCTTTTGTCCCTGGTGGTAATCGTGCTAAATCCCCGAAACCGTGGTATACTGTCTCAAAACAAGGCTGGATTATCTCCACTATTGAGAGTGAAAAAATGTTGGTAATTCCCAGCAGCCTGGTCTTTTTTGTTCCAAGTACGGTCTTTTGTTACAAGGCCCAGTTCCCTTTGTCTGATTTCAGAGACCCAGCCACGTATATAAAGCATACGTGTCCGGCACCGGAAACCCTGGTGGCAAGTGGTTAATGACATAGGAATGGAATTGAAAACCTCACTTGTTAGTAATTTTCTAAATGCTGTTAGTGAATGTAATATTTTTGATCAATTGATGATATATTTGATATCCTTGGCTGATTACGTAACTAGTGTATGTAGGATCCTTTACTGTTTTGTCAAGTACATTTCCTTCTACCAAGGGTGGTTATTGGTGCTATGAGTCAACTACAGCTCAGTCCTAAATCAAGTGGGCTTTTTAAAATTTAAATGTTTCAAGTTAAGTCACTGTTAGCATATCAGGTCAAGTTGAGTTGATTTCCGTTTGACCCCTTACTTGAGTCAGACCTTCTATTCAGGTCATTAGAAGCTTTACAGTCAAAATGACACCTGTATATAATTATTTACATAAACTAGTTAGACAGAATCATCTGTGCAGCATCTTCACAGCAGTAGCAACCACAAGTTTACAATTCCAGTGATGAATTTTCCTGCACTTCACTTTCTTTTTGGCAAATTTTCTGTTTAAATAACTGTGGTACTCGGGGGATGAGGCCAAATAAGGTAAGAAGAGGAAGGAGCTGTTTTGGCCCTTTCTTCTTGGATGTTTTATAGCCTGTAAAAGCAGAGAAGGGCAAGATGTAAATGTCTCTTTGTGAAACTAATTGTGAATGTTAAACGCCAGTGATGGCGCTAATTGCAGCGGTGGGTGAATACAGTCAAATGAACTTGTCCCTTCTTAATAGTAGATTACAAAAAAATGGTGTGGGCATACTTGTGCACTGCTACAAAGCTATTTGTATTAACATGATTCATTTCCTTCTTACAGATTCACATGCCGGGGCCTTTTTGAGAAACACAAACTTCTCTTCTCCTTCCAAATGTGTGCTAAAATCTTGGAGGCTGCTGGTAAGATCAATATGGATGAATACAACTTCTTCCTGAGAGGTGGTGTGGTGAGTACAGTCATAACAATTGGTTTGCAATTTATGTAAGGTACATGTATGTGTTTGTTTCATTGACAAACACTGGGTGAGCTGACAATATTGACACATGCGTGTTGTTTAATCACCATTTTGTGAACGTTATACTTCCAAGATAATAGATAAATGACTCACTTAAGCAAAACTTACATGACTCTGCATGTTGTGCGGATTACCATTACCTTATAGTTTAACCCCTTCGTGCTGGGAAGCGGCAAGAGCCACGCCTGGAGAAAAGTCTGATAACTGGGAAGTGGCTGTAGCCGCGTACCACACCTGTAACTTTTATTCAGTGTACACCTGTAATTACTGGGACCTTTGCATTGAATGGAAATCTGGGGCAATCAATAGAGTTCCTTGATCCCCAGATACTTGGTAAATGATTTTTTTTTCATCAAAACACCCCTTTGTCTTTGATTGAATACCCTGGGTAATCTCTCAGGAGCGGAGCTCGAGGCTGTGCATAGGGCTTATGCAACACGTTTTGTGTGGGCCCAAAGCATGATGAATGCAGGCTGTTGACATGGTGTGAGCACCATTGTTTACGGCCCTGCTGGGCTGGGAACATGTAGGCAGTACAGCAGCACCACGCACTCGGGATATAGACGGGCCATTGTTCAGTTTAATTGGTTATTTGTGTCATCGAAAAGCAGCATTTTCTGTGGCACTGTGTATATATTTGCCCTGCCGCTTCCCGGCCCTTCAGTTACATTACATGATGCCTTCCAGCGATGAGGAAACTTTGACTGCTACTAGTGGTTCAGATTTCATGTCGGAATCTGAGCATAGTTCAGAAAATGTAACTAGTGACAGCGATTCTAACGGGCTACTACCGTTAGCGAGGCCTGCCAAGAAGGTCAAAACTTTGTCCATTCAATGGACAACTGATGACAACTTCCCCCGCCAACACGGCTTTCAAGGCACAGCGGGTGTTCAAGTACAATAACTGGACAAGAACAGCACTCCTCTTGAAATCTTCGAGCAGTGTTTCACCCTAGAGCTGACATTGCACATTGCCAACGAGACCAACCGCTATGCCGCTGAACACCCGAAAAGTCAACCAGAAGCAAGTCCAAGTCACATACGAAGCTGGTTCGACACAACACCAGATGAGATGTCAGTGTTCCTGTCCATGCTGATAGTCATGGGACTGATTCCAAAACCCAACTTGAAGTCCTACTGGACGAGAGACTCAATACTTCAGACTTCGTTTTTCCTGATACCATACCCCGTGACAGATTTATGGACTTGCAGGCCTATCTGCATTTCTTCGATAACAGCCGTGTAGATGCAATTGATCGACTCTACAAGCTCCGCCCGGTGATAGATGAACTTACCGAGAAGTTCAACTCCATCTACTTTCCGTCCAGCAAGATTACTACCGACGAGTCCCTTTGGAAAATCAAAGGGAGACTGAAGTTCAAGCAGTACAACCCCAGAAGTGTGTGAGGTTTGGCATCAAGGTGTATCGAGTCTGCCAGAGCACGGGTGTTGCCGCTTGATACACCTGGAACTTCAAGATTTACAGCGGTCAAGACCAGACTGTTGGACTGGCAAGTACGAAAATCGTACTTGACTTGAACGCCGATCTTCTTGGCAAAGGGTACACCATTTTCCTGGACAACTGGTTCAGCAGCCCAGAACTGTACCTCAAACTACACGACCAGAAGACCAACGTTGTCTGGACAGTGAGAAGCAATCGTCAAGACAAGCCGAAGGACTTGTGCTCCTTGAAACTTGAGAGAAGTGATGTTGTTCACCGCTCCAGCGACAAAGGCTTGCTCACCTTGGTCTGGCGAGACAAAAAAGATGTCCGTATGCTGTCCACGATGCACACAGCCGAGATGGCCGACACCGACAAGCGGAATCGTGATGGCATCGCTTTGGAGAAACCCAAGTGTGTACTGGACTACAACGAGGGGATGAAGGGTGTGGACATTGCAGACCAGCTGGCATCGTCACACCGTTCAGTCAGAAAATCAAGCAAATGGCATGGTTCAAACTTTACTTCACTCAATGTTCAAGTTTGGGCTGGGCATTGATGCAGGGCATGCATGGACTACTGGGAAGTGGGCAGGAATTTTTTTCCGAAAGCCGACTCCAAGAATTTCAGCCTAGCTTGGCCACGAAGGCCACCTGCCAAACCGCAAATTCTTGGTTAGTGGCCCTGCGTGCTCTGCACGCTTTGAATTACACAGTGAAAAGGCTCATTGTTCGGTGGCATGTGGCTCTACTCACGCTTCCACATTCCCGTTGCCTCTTTTCAAAGTGGGGACTATTGTGAAGCTGGGGATTAGGATGCATATTCGGTCTTTTCATTTCTGGGCTACACACAAAGGCCAATCATCATATATACAAGAGCCAGGGTCTGCCTTCTTTCACCGTGTTCACTCGAGTGTGGGCCGAGAATAATAGCTGAAAAGCGGGCTGAGGATCTCAATTTTTACAACGGCTCTTACTATCTCCCTGCGCGAAGGGGTTAAACAGAAAAATGCTTCCGTTTTGGGGTTATATTCACATATTATTCCACTTTGGTAACTCCAGATATAAAAGTCAAGCAACTTATTGTTAATAATCACAAATTTTGTCACTTATCATGGATTTGTCTGAATTTGTATGTTGGATTTTTATAGGTTCTAGATCGGGAGGAACAAATGGACAATCCCTGTTCTGGTTGGCTAGCTGATGCATCCTGGGACAATATTACAGAACTTGACAAGTAAGTTATGCCTTACGGATTGCTGTCAATAAAGATGTTGTTGCACAAAGGAAGTTTATTTTGTGTTGTAAATTTCTCTTAAAGTTTTAAACGGTCAGTCTGTCATTTTTGCATTTTGTTCGTTTGAGGCAACAAAAGTGCTCAGAATCTGAAAACGTGTGCTTTACAACTATTCTTTTGAAATTTGAGCTCGTTGAATGCTGTATATTTTGAGAAAAGCAATATTCCAGGATCTTAATTTCAATCAAAAGTGAGAAAGTTCTAGATTGTCCTCGAATTCAGTGACCCAGACACGTTCTTTTTCAAGTGCAGTAATGCAATTTAGTGCACTGAACCAATGAACTTATGGCAATTTCCCTTGTGTGTGCATCATGTTGACGCTCGTGTGCACTGTACCAAATTAAAAAAGAACTACTAACCACAATTTGCAAATGCATCTTTACACACAACATTGGAAACAGCCTTCTTCCTTTGCTTTTTTAGATTGGCAATTTGTGTTAAAGAATTATACTTCAGGGAACAGTCCCTGTGTTTAAACCTGGCATGCTTTTTAACAATAATTTCCTCAGTTAATTTATGAACAACTGCAAATGTGTGACTGTATCTTTTAACATTTGTTCCAGTTGACATTGGGATTTATTAGTACATGTACACAAATTATAAGAAAAAGTGTTAACAATTCTTTCGTTCACCAGTTTCTACAGATGCACAGTTACTTAAGGAGGAAGGAATACATTGGTTATTACATTGGAAATATGAATAAAAGGAAAATATTATTTATATCGCATTTATAGTGCTCACTAATGGTGTGTTTGAGTAGTTAACGATATTAATATAGGTTAGCCTTGAGCCATTTGGTTAGTTCTGATACCATACTTAGGTTTCACGTTTGATAGCCACTAGAGAAACCCAGCTTACAGAACAGACTCTGTCGCAGAGCTACATCACACAAACTGTATGTGTGGTTTACTCAGCCTTTCCACAGATTCAGCAGGAAATAGAATTTTCAAATGTTTACCAAAATTGACTACCATTGTGTGGGTGAGCAAAATTTTGCAGAAAGATCATTAGTGTCTTTATTATTAATGTCATTACAATTATTATTATCAATTTTTGTGGAAGTATACATTTAAATTACACCCATTACAAAACAAACACCACAAAAACGTAAGAGTTAACAAAACCCAACAAAGCACAGAAAGTCTTAGATTAAGAAGGGCAAACAAAATGGAAAGGGAAAAGGCAAAAAGAAACACCCATATATTTTAATCAATCATATCAATTAAGTACTCGACCGCTCTTTCTGAAATGGTATGTCTTTGGTTGAATCTTGGAATAATCAAGCTTTGGAGGTTCCTACCATGGATGACCATTCATGATGGAGGAAATTGCAATTATCTAATAGACTCGCAGTAGAATAAAGACTGTGGCATCATCACCTTTGGACAACAAGTTTAAGACAGTAGTTACAGAGTTGTACCGTACAACTTCTTCCAAGAATGATTATGAAAGGAACTGAGGCATGGGGGGGGGTTTCATGAATTCCTCGAGCAGAAGTCAGTTGAATGCCCCCACCCAGGCTTTGAACCAGACACATTCTTTGTACAAGCCATAGTTGATTTGCTTCAGTGCCCCTTTGAAAAAAGTGGGCACCCCTAGGTCCCCCCCAGAAATTTCAGTAGTTTTAAAGAGTGAAATATTTGCATTTTAAGGATTCCATGATGATATTTGTTCTGTGTTTTAAAAGCCGCGAGAGACTTTTTAACAAGGCTGATCAAATTTTGTCAACCATTGGTTGGTAGCAACTATGACTGATGGGGCAACAGAAAGGTCTATGTATCTTAGACAGTGCCTTTTACCTATGTGACATTGGCATTTTGGACATTCGATTAGCCCATCTGTGATGGCTGCCTTATATTGCTGTACCTGAATCAATCCAGACAAGCTACTCAAATGTACCCACTTATAGTGGCTTTGGAACTGATAGTAGAAAAATGCAACATCAGAAAAATTTGGATTTACGGTTACCAAGTTCAATGAAACATTGATGATGCATCCCTGTATAAACTGTATGTCATTTAATACATAATAATACATTAAAATAGCAGTGTACGAGTAACAACTGCCAAGTCAGTAACTTATGTGCTTATTAATTATTAACAAAAAACAAATGCAAATGAAATAATTTGAGGTAACCATTCCAAATGTTTATAGGCATATGGAGATAGTGTCATGATGGTTTTAATTCCATAAATTAAAAAGTCTGGCTCATCCCATAAATTAACCAGGAGGAATTTACCTGATATGGACTTGGGCCAGTTCTCACCAAAGTCCACTTAAGCTAAATGCCCAGTGGATGGCACACCCGCTTGCCCCACTGAGGACAGAATGATTAACAGTATCAGAGTCTTCTAAAAGGTTTTATCCTTATTGGAAATATTTTAGTTACATCATGGCTCTGTTGAAATATATTGTAACGGTAAATGATGGTGATTTTGTAGAGTTTCTAAGTGTTCTGTCAAGCACAAATAAGACATTCCATTTCTGTATTGGCATTCTGCTTTATATTATCTTCTTAAAGCACATTGAGTTCTTATTTATGTACAAATGTTAAGTTAATCCATACTGTAAACCTGCAAACACCTGAAAGTCACATTCCCACTCTGCCAACTTTTATTTTTCTGATTTCTTCCTTCAAATACAACAAATCACTTTGTCACAATAACTCATTGCTTTGTCAGCTTGATCAAGGGCATTAACACAAACTGATTTTATTTCTGCTCTCAACCCCTCTTTTCATGCATCTCTTGCTACGCTAATCTGCAGCAAGTAAGTATGTCATCCTTATAAGCAGTTTTGTATGGTTTGCCTTTTTTATGTTTGGTATTGTTTGCCGTTTGTGTTTCATCAAGTTTACAATTTCCTAGTTTATGGTTTGCATTTAATTCAGATACATTGTATCACCTGTAGGCAGTATTTGTTTCACATAACAATTGATATACAATATAAAACAGCCTGCATTTTTGTTCTGCGTACACAGGTGTTCTCGGTGAGCAATCAAATGCTGACTTGTATTGTTAAAGTAGCTTTTCTTAGAGATCCTCGGAGTGTTCTGCTTGTCATGAGCTTCACCTCAGGAAAACGCATTGCTTCATGGATCAGCTCAAGTGGCTACATGTACATGTAGTTGTAATATGTCAGTGTTTGCATGATTTGTTTGATTTCTCAAAAGAAATTTATGTGTTAGTAAATGACCTTAAATTTTTAAAAATTAACAGTGAGAACTTACTATTTTCTTAACATTTCACACTGGAGGCTGTGCAAATATGATCATGCTCTCTACATAGAGTGGTTAAAAAACACAGCCCAAAACTAACATTTATTTTCCCCAAACTAATCCTGAAAAAAATTGGTGATTTTTTTAAATTGAAGCTTGGATGTTATCTTATCAAAACAGAATTTTCATTTAAATCTGATGATGCAGTGCAGGGATAATCTTTTTTAGATAAGTGCATTTTTGTTCTGTCCAATATGATTTACCACAGCAATAACAATGCTACGTGTATGCTTGCGCCTTTTAACACCCTTTAAAATATACATGATCAGTGGAAAGACCTGCAGATGTGGATGCTGAATAATTGAACACTGTTTTGTCATTTAAAAACATCTATTTTCCATCGACAGAGGAGCAGGGTCCTGAAATCGACCAAAGTGGTTAATGTTTCTGAAGTAAACAAGATCAGCACCTTGTTACATACTGACGGGGAAAACTGCACGGGTTGTCTGCATTCATTGAAACAAACTCATTAAACTCTGAGACTTCACAATTAACTAATTATTTCCCTTTGAAATAAGCATCAGCTGTATCAAGTTTAGGGGTGGAAAAAAGTTTTAAAGAAGTAAGGATCAAATACGTTGGGTGATAATTTAGGGATTTCAAAAATAAACTGTATAACTCCTATTGGACAGAAAAACTGAGTTGTGTCACATAATTGAAAGATTTGATTGACGTTTTAAGTTTTGATGATAATGTTCCTACACAACAATTTCTGACAATTATACAATACGGAGGATTCACAATAGTGCGCCTCCAAGAGTTTGCAATGCATTGGCCAATCACAGCGCACACAAAATCTGTCGACCCTTTCCAAACACGCACTGGGTCTACAGACTTGCGGCATTATTATTAGCCAACGTGTCACAAATGTTTGGTGGCGCACTATTGTGAAATGCCTGTATTATTGTTGGAGACAATAAATTTTTAGGGGGTCACTTTGTATATTTAAAGGGACATTTGGTAGACTGTTTCCCAAATATCAGACAGTGGACATGTACACATTCTTAAACCACCTTTTGTTGTGTACACACAAGAAAGTCGTGTAAGTCTGTGGTGAGAGAGTGGGCGTTGAACTCAAATTTGTACACTGTACATAGATTGCATTTCAGGAAAAATTGCTTGATGGTGGAGCCTTGGAATGTCTCAATAAGATTGCTGTGAACAGTATTTTTCAAATATTCAACAAATGACTTTAAAGAGTCCATATTTTTTGCATTTGGCTTTAAAAAGTTGGCAAATATTTACCTGCACATCTTGCTTTTCTGTAAGTCAGAGTTCAGCCCAGATAGCACTGTTGACAATTGGTTTTAGTGTTGTTCACTATTTTTGCTTTTCCCCTTTTTCCCATTTTCCTAATACCTGAAGTTATGGAACACCATTTATCTTTACTGTACAAGATATACAAGACTGGCCAATCTTAGGATTCAAATTCACACCAGCTCTCATTCTGTTCACTTGTTTCATGTTTTGAAATCACTGCTTTGAGAAAATCAGCTCAGACTCGTACACGTACATGTATAACAGCTACATGAACCACATACAAAAATTGGTACCTATGACCAGATGTGGTATTTAAAATGAAATATGTTTGGCAGGTGATATTTGGCTAACTGTCCTTAAAGACAGAAAAAAATTTTGTTTTCTCAAAACCTACAGTATTCTCATTGGAAATATGTCACAGATTAACCAAGACTGTTACTAACATTCTTTCAAAGATATTAAAGAATAAAGTCCCATTTTATAATTTTTTTTCATTTACCAATGGTCCCTAACCTTTCCTTTAAATCTAAAAGTAATTTTTGCTTAGATATTCCATAGACAACTCTCTTTGTGAGAGGAAAGTAGTTGAAGTAAAAAAATATGGATTTTTTACCGTGATGACGGATCATGTGTTTTAGCCATTTTCGATCAACTTTTCAGAAAACAAAGAAGAAAGAAAAAGAAGTTTTTTTCCCTATTGTGTCCATTCAACTGTAGCACTAGATTTACCGCAAGTTAGAATAAGACAGAAAGGTTTCAGAACGTTTTATATTTGTTGCCCTTAGGATGGTTGTTGAAATTGTTAAGATCTGATTTGAGAGGAAATAATAGTATGTTTTACCAAAGTACTTTACTCACTGCATATGTCTTGTACATTTATAGTAAATCAGGCTGTAAATTCAAGTCAGAATTCAATTCCCCAGACAGTGTTTGCCTGTTGGCCAAGCTACATCAAACACAACGTGGTCGTTCTGGCGATGACATCATCCACTCAGCCTGGGAGCATGAATGGCCAAAAAGGGGTTTTTGTTGGTGGGGAAATTCAGAATCTTTTTATTAGTTTAGGGGTCACAATTAATGGGGTAAACATAAAATTTATGATCTTTTGAAATCATTATGTATTTATTGTTATTTTGAAATACTTTACGTGACTTAAATGCTTTTAATTTTTGGTACCCTTTAATGTAAGTAGTCTGGTTAGTGGTCCATGCTTGAACTGTGGCTTGACAGCTAGATGCCAGTGGAAGCTAAATGAAAGGATCACATTCAGGTGGCCAGGAACAATGCAGGAGAGTCCTGTTGATGATTACATATTTGGGCAGCACCTCTGCAACCTAATGCATTTACAAAAGCAAAGGAAACATCTCTATAATCAACAATAAAAGCATGTCACCATGGCCCACATATCTTGTTTATCTACATATATTTGATTCACCATGGTAACGATGCAGGATTCACAGCAGGAACATTGTAAAAGTGCAGTGCAGACTGCAAGCTGATTTGATTAACGTGAACTGAGAAGGCTTCTTGGCCTTTTATAACTGAAGATGGACTTCATTGCGTAACATTTGTTCCCATTAGAGTATGCGAAGCTACTACAATATCACAGTGTGATATACACAAGGATGAGGGAAATATGCATATGCATTTTTATTGGCTGGTCATGTTATCAATCTTGGCCATATATGAAAATATAGTATTCAAGACAAGGGAAAGATAAGAATGAATGTAAGATTAATACCTGTACATGAGTAACACTCATGATACCGGTAGCTTATTTGTGATTAACTAATACGGCATCTCTTCAATTGCATTCGACTATTACATTTCTTTGGACTTTGCTTTCCTAACCCCCATCATCCATGTAGAGAAATTGCCTGTCATGTTTGTCCATTCCTCCATTTGGCTGTCAAACTGTCCATGTGTCTGCCCATACTTTCATCTGTACATGGATCTGGTTTTGTTTTGAGAGACTGACTGATACTGATGAATTTTTGTTGTTATATATGTACAAATGTTGTAAATTTAAAGTTGAAGGTCACGTGAATGATGGTGGAAAGTAGAATGGTAGTGGCCAGGTGACACCTCCAGGTATTCACAATGACATGTCAATTGTGTCAGTAGAGGAGGGATTGTTGGATGCTCAGAGGTATAATTCCTGGGAGAAATATGTTGAAAAAGATTTCTTGGCTGTTATATGTGACACATACGATGTTTGTGTAGAACTTGGTGTGACATTTACCACACAGAATTTTGAGCTCAATCTTAATTGACACATGACCTTCCCAACCAGAAGGATCCTATAGAGGAATCTGTGACCTTTTAAATAATCGAATTACCTGTGTTTAAAATATTTATGGTGGAATTTTTTTTTCATAGATTGGCAAATTTTCATGGGCTAGTTCAGTCCTTTGAGCAGTATCCACGTGACTGGCATGTTTGGTATACAAGTTCAGAACCAGAAACAGCACCGTTGCCAGGTAAATTCATTTTTTGTTTATTTTACTTGATTTATTTGACAAAACTAAACAAAAACAGAATTCAAATTGTTATTGGATTTTTGGTGATTAACAAAGTTTGACAGAAAAAGAAATTGCAAGTCTAATGCTCTGTCCATTGATTAATGCTTAATTAGTTGAAGTTGGTGGAAACATGTTGAAATATAAATTTTAAGGTTTCTACACTTGTAAATGACAGTCCAGTGTTTGTTAACACTTAAACATGGAATGAGCTTGCACTGTTTACTGTATTGCTGGATAATAGAGATATGTTGTTTAGCTTTCAGTTTTACCAGTGGTACTATGCAGGATTTCTTAAAGAGTATTTTATAAAAAGGTTTCTGTATAAGAAAACACCCTTAGTGTTAAAGTTAGGGCACTGATTAAATCCTGGTTTCAATATTGATTTAAAGAGACTCGATCAGCATTGCCAAACAGTCCCCAATGATTAACAATCATATGAAGATGCTTTGTCATGACTATTGCAAATATTCATGCAGTTTGCAAAGTTAGATTGTGATTAACTGTCTGCGTTGAGTTGTCAGTATATAGGCCCATATAAACATGCAGAGTACCACAAATTTCACTTATTTTCTTCATATAACTGAGAAATTCAACACCAGCTGTCAATAAACTAGCTGACCAAAAATGAACTACATTGAGTTTAAACACTATAATTCAAGAAATGATATAACCACCTAGCAAGGAATTTCAGAATTTTGAATGCCATTTTGTTTCAATTATTTCTGTGACTGCCTCTTAACATTTTTCTTGTTGACATGTACAGCAGTTATAAAGCAATATGGAAACTAGACTTCAATACCTTTATGGAGTATTAGGGTTTTTATTGAGTGTTGTATGGAGAAAAATTCTCAAAATTACACATAAGATAACATGGAGTGCAAATAACAATTGCAACTAAAACAGAAAAACTTTTGGGGTGTTCTATAAATGGACAAACCTCTCTAATTTTCAATTGTAGTTGATTTTCAGTTGAATAATGACATCAAATTAGACATATGACAGATAATAGGGGAATAAATATGTGCTTAACCAGTCCAAAACATGCGTTTCAGACTGGCTCTGGAGAATAGACACAACTAAAGCTTAAGCCACAGGCGAGGGCATTATCAGCCCATATTTATTCCCATTCATAAATACTATTTTAGTCAGAGAGTCAAAAGAAGTTAGTATACTGTAAATTTCCAAGGATTTTGCTCAAGAATTGTACTTCATTTTCCAGAACACTCCACGTCCGTTTTATGGTATATTCCTTGTACAAGTAGTCCAGCAGAATCTCCTAATATATGGACTTAGCCTGCATGTGGCGCATTGTGCGTCCCATGGCACACACAGACTCTTGACCAATTATGGAATGGATTAAACTGTCTTGTATCCAGGTGCCAGTGCATTTTTACCCAGCGGTCATTATCAAATGTTAATGCAACACTGCGTGTTTGTGATCAGGGAACTGTCTATGATATTGAAAGTTATGAATAACTTTCAATATCTCTTTTTTAACCAATGCAACAGCCCAGCTCCTTTGTCCAGTTCAGTTGAGAGCCTTTTGTAATTGCCACAGTTGGTCATTTGTTCTGTTTTCAGGTGAGTGGGATAGTGCCTGCAATGAATTGCAGCGGATGTTGATCATTCGATCATTGCGTCCAGATCGTGTTTCTTTCTGTGCCGGGTCATTTATTGTCAACAATCTTGGATCCAAGTAAGTAGAAACAAAATGTGCTAGTAGTTGACTTTCAGTTCAGCTCCTTGTTTGTTTTCATGTGTTTAGAGCTTTTGTTGAATTACTGCCTTTAAAAAGAGCTTTACATTTTCAATCTTGAGTTTAAAAGATCACATTTCCTTTAAAAAGAGCTTTACATTTTCAATCTTGAGTTTAAAAGATCACATTTCCAATACTCAATAATGATTCTGTTGACATTTCAACCAATACACAATGTACTCTGAAGCTTACTCTGATTCATCTACACTAATTACATTTGTGCAACCACCGTGTTGTGTAGGGCAAGTGCATTTAGTCATAGACTAATCTGATTAGACACTATAACTTTGGAGGCACTGCACTCACACCCATATTCTGCTTGACGCGTGCGTGCATTGTGCAAATCACAACACCTTTTTGGTCAAAGAAGCATGTAATGAGCCTCTCCACAAAAGTTATGCCACTGCAGTAATGGCGTTTAATTCTGGTAGTTGAATTACACTGTAGAACTTTTAAGGCATAGTACGTAGAATTAAATATCTGCTATTAACAGACAGAGCCCATAAATAAGTTTTACAAAAGAAATCTATTATTGATATTTGTAAAGGTTTGTGGAACCTCCTGTGCTTGATATGAAAGCTGTTTTGGATGACTCAAACACAAGAACACCTCTAATTTTTGTTCTCACAACTGGAGTGGTAAGTCCACTTGTCAAAATACTTCAAGTCAGTAACTAACCGTGTATTTTTGTGAATGGAGAAAAACCAGAATGCTCACATTTTCCTGATTACATGATGTTTAACCTCTTCCTGCTGGGTGGAATTTATATATGCGGGACGATTTTCAAGATTTTACGTTTTCAAAATTTTTCAAAAATTCCTAGCTTCATTTACCGGATACTTACACCCACACAAATGACTGTCTGGTGGCTACTCTACCCCCCTCCCACTTCTGTCTTGGTCATTGTTATACTGGTATCTCAGGAATTCTTTTCAGACATCTAGGGGATGTATTAAGTAACTATAGGCTGGAGTGTGTATACGGATTGGACTTGTTGGGGGGGTACCCCTCTGTCCCATTTTGTGTTTATACTGTTTCAAAGCAGTGACGGATTACCTCTGCTGATGCCAGGTGAAAAATGATGGCAATTCCCAGCGGCTTGGTCTTTTGTTCTGTGTACAGCCTTTTGTTAAAAGGCCTAGCTCCTTTGTCCAATTTCGGGCACCCCTGGCTATGTGTACAAACCTGAGGTATCTGGTACCGGGAACCCCAGCACTGAGTGGTTAAGAGTTCAGTTGTCTTTTTTATGGTAAAGATTATGTGTACCATGCAAAATTTAAATTTTGAAACAATTATTTGCTACTTTGATGTTGCCCCCAAAATATGTCAGAAAACTATTTAGTGGTTTGAAAACACAGTTTTTATGTTTGCAATTGAAAATACGCATGCATGTATTAAGTAGGTATTTCAACTTTCATATCAGGATAGGTCAGTGGTATTTGACCAGTAACATTTTTCAACTTTGTTTTTCAATGCTTACTATAGGATCCTACAAGCATGCTCCTTCAGCTTGCAGAACAAAGTGACATGGCTCATCGATTCCATGCACTTTCACTTGGTCAGGGACAGGCACCAATCGCAACTCGTATGATAAAGGAAGGTGTCAGAGAGGTGATACATGAAATATATTTCATAAATTCATGCACAGACACAGTACAACTTGTTTGGAAGTACGAGGTTACTAAATCTATCATATTAGCTAATTGTACTGCCTTTTAGTATAAAATTAGGAGAATATAGTCTACATTATTAGAGACAATTAATTCCATACTTGTTAGTCATTTGGTTGCATTAACACAGATATTTTATTGTTTTACTAAAATTTGTTCAGTTTATTGCACTGCATTCATATGTACAATTCATAAATTTGATGTTAAAAAGCCCTGTATTAAAATTTGAACAGCAGACTGCTGTAAATTTGTATTTTTCAATCTTTGGTGTGCCTTGGACAGACATATTTGTGTTCCATTTGGAATGCAGCATTGCTCAATTTGATGAAAGATTGACTCAACTGCAGTGCCTGCAAGACTCACTGGTCGAGTTTGAGAACTAAAGTAAACAGAATTTTTTTGGACCACTAAGAAATACTTTTGGCCAAGAACAAAAAGACACACCTGAGAAGTTTCATCTTAATACTTGAAACTATCAGAAAATTGACAAGTGCAGCTATTTGCATGCTTTTGCTCTTGACTATCAATGTAAGAATTAGCATTATTTAATTTCAAAGGTACAAGTTTTACATCTGAATGCAAATTCTGATCGTTAATTTAATTTATGTTGTAAAAGGAATGGGCTGTAGAGCAAGAACTTCTTGAAATGTTTTATTTGGGGAATTAACAAGATTCTTTTAAAAGCAATTTCAGGACAGAGATCCAAGTGTCCAAAAAATCCTTACAGATTTAAGATTTATTTGCACCCTCAAGAAAGACTGCAATTTTTTCCATTCATGTAGACCTCATGGCATTTTTTTTAATAATGAAAGGAAGGATTTCTTAAAGTTCTATAACTTGCAATTTTAGAGGTGGAAAAAATACAATGTACTAAGACAATGTCACTGTGCCAACCTCATTATCACTGAGTAAATAATCACTTCCTCCTTTTTTATTTCCACTTAAATTTTAAAAGGGTCAAATAAATGAGAATATAGTCTTCACTTGTTTAATGCATATGATAAATCATATGCTGTGACATTAAGTAAAACCCAGACAAATGCTTGGTTAATGCCCTCCGTTATATACGTTAGTTAGTCTAATTTGTTAATATGTATATGGTGAATACATGTCGGAGTTTTGCATGTGACCTAATAATATGAAAGTAACTGTGGCAATATTGTTTATTCATTTAAGGGTAACTGGGTATTCCTTGCTAACTGCCACTTGTCATTGAGTTGGATGCCAGCATTGGCTAAACTTGTTGAGCAGCTTCAAGTGGAGGAGCCCCACCCAGACTTCAGATTATGGCTGAGCAGTAGTCCACATCCTGAGTTCCCTATTTCCATCCTTCAAGGTGGTATCAAAATGACAACAGAACCACCAAAGGTAACAATTGTATCTGCTCTAAAATGGTTATAAATATTACAACCTTTGACTAGTCCATAAATGATCAGATAAAGTACAATGAAATTGAAATGAAGATTTCACCAAGTTCACCTCATCAAGGTCTCAGCTGAGTCTACAATGCTCAAGCCTGAGCCTAGTCTGTGTCCAGATGTAAACAGTTTGTCATTACAAAAGACATAAGTATTAACAAAAATAAACAAAAACCAATAAAAAATGGTTGTATGTGTACACAAACAAAACTTTATTACAAGTGAATGTAGTAACAATGCCAAACAGCTTTACATGCACATAAACTTCAGGTGAATTGGAGACCAGTCAAATGTATGTACATTAATAATCAATCTACTGCATGCACACTGACATGCCAATTTATTTTTTTCAAATATTGGGGAATCCAAGCATTTCCTTGTGTGATTAAGAAATTTCCATGAAAGGAAAAATTATCTCTTAAAGATAATTTTTTGTCCAGTTTCAACTTAATCTGTGTGACAGGAATTTTTACTTTTTTTTTCAATAAATGCCAAGTACAAGAAGAACAGGAATGGGTGTCTTGCAAATCAGTCAACATTCTGATTGTCACATAAACAAATTATCATATTTATTTCTCTATTTTGGAAGCATCAGAGGGTCACTTATCAGTTCAGAAATTTCTTAATTTTGCAGAAAATGGAACAGTCAACATTCTGATTGTCATTGTGGTACATTTTTTGGTGCCACAGTGCCTGCCATTTTGTCTGCAGGAAGAGCTGTGACTTTGCCTACTACTGCACATGTGCCTAATATTCTATTAACCCCTGACAGTGAACTATGCATCAGCAGATACAACAAATAATTCAGATACACATGATTGATGACCCCCAGTTAGATGCACGGGTGTGGGAATTCAGCTTTTTTCCCCAGATGTTTATTGCCAATTTCAGCTTTTCTGTAAGCCTGCTCTGTAAACCTACTCTCTACCGGTTTTTGTTAGACATTTATAATTTTCAGCAGCAACTCAATCCTGCAGATGGTGTGGTTCTATTCAAATGTTGTACAGAGGATCGTTGTACATGTATGCAAATGCTGTCAACAACCAATTCCACTGTGAATTGACGATGCACATCATTAAAGCTTAGGGAAACAAGTCACTACTTATTACCTTATTCGTTTATTGTCAGGTCGGGTCTCGGACTCCATGCATGTACATGTTGATAAAAAGACAATTAAGTTTAAGAGCAGAAAACAAAGTTTTGCAGATTGGGTTTGGGTATTGATCTGTGAACACGCAGACAGTATTGCCAAGTTATCAGGAATGAGAATACAAAATCATGAATCAGATGGAAAATGGTCAAGAAATTCCATGAAAGTACACTTACAATCTCTTTAGCCTACAACGCTCTACCAACCCAAACAGTTACTGCATATGCAAATTTCCTATGTACCTATTATTTATTAGCTGGAGAGATTTGATCACCTGTGGTGATTTGATCACCTGTGGTGCACCCTGACCTCCCACAATGCAACGCAGCCTTGCCACTATGATCGTTCTTTTTCTCAGTGTTGTAACGTAACAGACATGTCTTTCGAGACATCTTCAATTCATCAAGCTTCCGTTTACGCTGCACAGTTCTGTCTCAATTTGATCACCTTTCCTTCCTTTGTAAATAAAGTGTGGCCTGGCTTTATCTATTGGTAGAAGTGTTCTTTTTGTGTATATTTCGTGTTGTTATCTTTGGTTTCTTGTATGTGCACCCTGCAGGTGTTTACCATCAGTACTACGAGGTTCATTCCAGCTACTCCAGTGTCAACCCTACCAATAAACAAAAGCTTATCTGTCTCTCTGCCAACAGAACGGGGTTTTTTGCATACCTTTGTTGACTACAATGTGTTAGCTATTATCTGGGCAATTAATGCGTATATTTTTTACGGCTGATTTTGTACTGAATTTAAAGCAATAAATGGACTTTTTATTGTATCTTAAGGTCGGATGACACCATCGGCCCCAAATTTTACACGTGTGGAATGGGTAAATATCATCATATCCATTAATGTTCAGGCGATTCCAAACACTTTGCCACAGACATCAACTGAAAATTCATTTTTCATAATTTTCAACCTGTCGCTAGAGGGGGCTCAACAATTGCGTCATTATTAAAGATGTGTTGAAGAATACAGTACCCCAAGAGACTAACACCATTAAAAATAAGTTTCGACCAGAAGAGTCACATGATTTGACCCATACAAGATGAATTAAAGACCTGATTTTACTTTGCCACTTGCCGCAAACAGAATGTTGCGGGAGGACATGGTTGATATATGGATTTTAAAAATTAACATAATATTTAAACTTCAAAATTTAATAATAAATCATTTGATGACGTCATCATGATGTAATTTCATTCTTGTTATCTTTGTATTAAGGTCTGCGATTGGTGTAACTTTGATGACAATCGAACATTGCTGTTCATTGATGAAAATCCAAAGTTTCAAAAGCACTAAAGTCATGTACAAAATAAGCGTGCACAAAACAAATGGACTTTTGAGCAGTAGAAGAGGGAAGAAGAAGCAAGAGCTTTTTTGCCTGTTTGCAGCATGCAGAGGGCTTATCTGCTTTTTTTCAGTCAAAAATAGTTAAATATCTTCACTGTATGACTTGATGACTTAATAGTTATGACACATAGTTGTTAAACAAACCTTAAACGAAGGACCTAAATTTACCCTATCACTTGATGTAAAGAGCAAGACCTGGGGATCACACAAACTGGTTGATGTTTGGTAATACCTTTGAAAGCAAGTTCATATCTATCACCAATTTTGAATGATAAGCCACTTCCAATTTCGACTGAAAAGAAGGGTCATGTGACTTCATGTACATTTGATGAAATGAATATTTCAATTTTACTACCACTTTAGCACAAACGCCAAATCGGGGGAAGTCACGGTTGATTTTATATGGATTTTTAATCATTAAAATTCAAACTTCTTCAACTGATTGTAGTTAGATACCTGATGATGTCATCATGGCATCATTATTTGAGGACCAATCTCTTCCTGAAGGTCCTTCTTCAGTGTAACTGGGAGTTAGATCTAAGATTGCGAATTGCTCCAAAAGGTCGTATGAAAGTGTACAGAGTCAATGTGGGAAATTAAATAGTCAAAATTAAATAGTAAAACAAAAGATGACGTCATCATGACGTCAGTGAAATAGAGTAAACTTTGCTTTAAGTCTTCCCATAGTGTAACTTTGATGAAAACACATCACTTCCATGTAACCAAAATGCCCCTTGAAATGCACGTACAAAATGAATGGGCCAGAATAAATATTCAAAATTACATAATAAATACTACGATGACGACATCATGACATAAATCTTTGTGGCAGAGCCTTGCCACAGGTTCTTTCTGTATCCTACAAGATATCAGCAAAGTTTCAACCCAATGGGTCATGTACTTCAGAAGATAAAGGGCTTCAAAGAAAGCCAATTTTCATGTCACGTGACTTTTCACATGAGGATGTCTCTACACATGAAGTCAACTAATGTCTTTAATACTTTCCTTACTAGATACCTGGAAGATTTCAGCCGAATCGGACATGTAGTTCAGGATATACAAGGCATTGAATTTTGCACCTAAAATGCATATACAGTCAGTCATATCGATTACACTGCCCCAAACTGGCTGTTGAAAAAAGTTGTACAAAACCTTTGGGGAAAATAAAATATTAAAAAACAATAAAAAAGAATGACATCATCATGACGTCATAAAAATTGGTGTAATTTTTGTATCAGCGTCTTTGTTGCCTGTAACTTTAATATTGATTGAAAATTGCTAAAGTAGCAAAATGGTGCCTTTAACACATGCACAAACAAAGTCAGTGGGCTTAAAATCGCATGCAAAACTACTGCACCTTTATATTCAAGTCACGTGAATTGCATTTAAACTAAAAAGAAATTATGAAATATTATTTGATATTTTCACTCTTGGGTATATTTGTAATCAAACAAAAAGGAAAATTTAGTCTTTTTCGTTCTGGTAGTAATTCATGGTCGAAGTTGAGGACTACTCGGTCATTAAGATTGATAAAAGTGTGTTGTAGAAAAACGTGTACAAAACTTATGGAGAAAAACTGCAGCTTTAATCTCATGTCACGTGACTCCTAACTATGTCATTTTCACGATTTTGCCCTGGGATCTTCTCTTCATGGTGGATTATGGATGTGGACAAATGTGGAATCAGTCCGATTGACCAGAGTGCCGAAGATTGGCTGCTGATGAAAATGGGGAAAAATAAAATATTCAAAAATTAATAAAACCGTAAATAATGTGACATCATCAATACGTCATAAAATTGGCATAATTTTTGTATCAGGGTCTTTGTTACCCGTAACTTTGATGACAATTGAAGTTTGCTAAATTAGGAAAATGCTACTTTTAAAACATACAAAGTCAATTGGCTAAAAACCCCTATGCAGAACAACTGGACCTTTAAATTCAAGTCACGTGATTTGTGCTTAAACTGAAAAATTTTCATGAAATATTATTTGATATTCTGACTCTTGGGGGTATATTTCAAATTGAATAACAGAGTGTAAAATATACAATTTCTCTTTCGTCCACATAGTAATCTTGAACTGAAGTTGGCGACTTCTCACTGATGAGTGTTCAGTGGTAAAACGTGTACAAAACCTATGGAGAAAAACTGCAGATTTAATCTCATGTCACGTCAACCAAAGACCGAAACAGCCCCCTCCAAAAAAGAACAAAAGAATGACTTTTTCACAAGGTTTGAGCCGGTTGAATTCAGGGGGTTGCTGTCAGGATCTGTCATAGTCCCCTGTCTTCTCTGGCTACCAGAACGAGGAAAAGGCCTTGCTGTTGACCAGGGGGTTTGAGCCAAATCTGGCCAGGCCCCTGCTTCGTTCTGGCCCCATGGAGCTTACAGGAAAGCTCTGTGGTCAACTGTGGAAGACCCGAATAGGGACACCGCCAAGATCTGGCAAGGACCGCGTTCCTTGGTTATTTGCTAGCTTGGTGAGCCAGCCAGGACTCCCAAGAGAGTACCCCATCAGACGTCTCCTGGGCCCATCCTAGTATCGTCGTGAAGTACGCCACGCTTTTTGCCCAACATGGCCCAGGGGAATCCATGTGGCGTTCCAGCCAGCATTCCCCCGGCAACACTGAAGAGCACCACCCACCGTTGACATCGGCTAAGAAGACCACTTCTCCCTCTCGCCCAGATACCGAAGTCACCAGGCCGAGCACCCCTGCAAGCACCGTTGCCCGGCACCCACTATTTTTTCTTTGGGTTCTGTGGAGCTTACCGGATTTTTACACTGCCATGGCTTCAAGACACTTTAGTCCATCTGCGGCTTGGGTTTTCAACTGGTTATCACTGGGTCATCAGACCTCTCTTCTCCTGGTCCCTTTGCCCAAAAATCTGCAGTTCCCATTGACGTCGACTGGGAATGCACCCTAACGTTCTGCCTCCCACGGTCCCATCTGCTAGCTCTGCCGCCGGGTCGCCCATCACCAGGAAAGGCAAGCACTCCTCTTCTCTTCCTCATCAAATTCCTCAAAACTCAAGAAGAGGCACCGCTCCTACAACCACAAACATACCTCTGTGGCTTGGATGTACTTCACGACGATACTACATCAGCCTTCCTGTCCATCAGTGAAGTTTCTGACCTCCACCATTCGCCTCGGCGTCAGACTGCCACAGGCCTCCACCAACGCAGACCCATTTCTTGCGGACCAGCCCCCTTCTGCCCTCTCCGGCTGTTAGCCATGATGACACAGGGCAGGGTTCTAAACTGAAATCGCACCAGCCGGGCATTCCCCACGGGAGCAGGCCGCTCCTCACGGGACTGTACATGGCTCAGAACGAGGCACTGTCCTGACCCCATCTGGGCAATCAGCATTGTCTTCCAAGGAGGACGAAGTTGATTCCATCAGCACCCTCACTCTGTCGGATTGCCACCCCCGTCTTCTTCAGCGAGACATGATTCAAGTTCCCAGCTTTCCATCAGCCGCTCCGCCAGAGGAAGACACAGCATGACTGGAATCATCTGGGTCAATTTTTCCAAAATCCCTGCTTGATCATTCATGCATGGAGATAGTCTAAGCTATAGCCAGAATTAGGCGTGCGTACGAGTCCGCTCCAACCTGACAGTCCTCCACTTAACAACTTGTCAATCTACGGGGCACCCTCAGCTCTCAACTATAGTACAGCCTTACTTCAGTCTAAGCAGGTGACCATGTCTTTGGTTGAAGATGACACCGATTTCATTGGTCCTCACCCCCCATGACACGTTCCAGATTCTCAGTCCTCTGTCAGCCTCCCTTCCAGAGGAAAACACCGACTATGCCCATGCCAGTCAACAGACCGCCCCACGTCTGCAGCCTCTGCCTTCGGATACTCTTGCTACAGGGCTCCCAGTTGTGAAGTAGGCTCTTTGCCTTACCAGACCACTCCCTCTTATAATACGGAGCAGCCCCAGTGTATACAGTGCCGGCAACACATGTTGTACGTCAGCTCGTCACCTTCCCTTTAATTAGGGCCTTCCGGAAGAATGTCTCTGAGACAACTACAGTGGATCAGTGTTGTAATAAGGTCCTTGGAACTTTACAAATACCTTGTGTTATCAGTTAAAGAAAACAAAAACAAAAAACGAAAAAAAAAAAAAGAAACATTATTTTCCTTGTCATAAATACTACCTCGTATTATCAATGCTCTTCTTATCTGTCTTCGACTGTACATGTATTGCAGTGGTCCATCAGGCTCTCTCCTTGGATGAACATGACCCACAGCCCCACTTATCCAGACGGCCGTTACACGCAGATGTCACCTAGCCTCCAACATCTATGGCGTGGGCATCCATACGTAATCCAGACAGTAGCACTTTCCAGGCCGACTTCCCGGATTGCTGCCCCAGTGAATATGCCATTGGTACATGGACTCAACCTTGAGTCTCTGTCATAGCCTTCTGGGGTGGCTCTCGCTGCCATTGCCAGGCCCGCCCAGGCCACTGGAGGTGAGTTCATGCCTTACTTGGTGATCTCTAAAGACCACTATAGGCCTAAACCTACTGGCATTCAAGACTACGTCACCTGGTACCCAGACAGGAACGACCAAATAGCATTTTTCAGGGCAGTCTTCCTACCTTTTTAGCTCTGCCCAGGTGAATTCACCATCATGACACAGACCTACCGCTGTCTCTCCAGTCCAGATCCCTAGGCATCCAAAGCTAATGGTCTTCAAGCAATTAGGGTTTTTACACACCCTGTAGCACACTGTAATCCAGAGTTTCCCCAAGGGGCCCTAGAAGAAATGTTACAAACCTATTTCCACTGTGGCTCACCATGTACGACCCTGTGATCTGCAGAACAACCATTCTGTGGCCCCCACTAACATGGCTCCACATAACCACAGATTCTGCTCTGTGGCCTTGCCATACAGCACACTGTCTGAGCGTATGTTTACTTCAAAGGGACTTTCTAGCAATGCTACAGCCATGGCTGTCATATGCCCACCTTTTGAATTTGTGAGAGCAGAGTTTAGCATTTTGTTATGTGCTTTGACTTCAGGCTTTGGCTCCATCTAACACTCCTATGAGTGTTGTAGCAGACTTCCTTATGTTCTTCTTTCATTCAGAGCTGCAAGTATCTACAACTCATGTACAAGTCAACCCTAGCTGCCATACTCGTTGGTTTCAAAGTCAATTCAACCACCTCTAATAGCATGGCATTTCATCACCTTGTCGAGAAATTGTTCTGGTCATTAGATCCTTCCTTTGAACACTACATAATGCCTCCCTTACACACACTTGTGTTAGGTTGGCCTTTCTTCTGACAATGGTTACTTCCAGAGGAGGCAGTGAACTACAGGCTCTACCCTTTGCCAAAGGCCGTCTATGATGGAAGCTATGCAGTGTTCACCTCATTCCTTTGATTGGTTTTCTGACAAAGGATCAGACTCCCTCACCTGATCCTTCCGATATCTTTGCACTCTCCATCTCTTTACATCCTGTAGATTATGTGGATAAACTCTGTTACCCTATTCGTGTCCTGAAGTGATACCTGACTAAAATGATGGCATGAGAGGGACAATAGCCCCATCGTTTTTCACTATCACAAGACCACACCATCCAGCAGCATCAGTCACTCTTGCCCGCTGGACAGCCCCAGCCATTAGATTTGCTAATCCAGTCTGGCTGTCAAGCTCAGATGAACAAGTCACCACTACATCAGGATTCATGATGTAAGAGCAGTATCTGCATCTTGGGCTTACTGTTGAAACTTTTCCATTGCAGACATCTGCAATGCTCTTCCTTGTTTATATGTAAAAGAGTATTCTTGGCATTACGTGTGTTGTTGCTAACCTCCACTTAGACCAGTGCTACTCTTCATATGTAGGGACCGTTGGGTAGGTAGAGTGCCATAGACTCCTCCACATTTCAAGTGTGGGTCTGGTCAACTAGAGAATACCTACTCTCCTGCCCATCCTCCTCGCTCTAGCTCTGACCTTTGAATCACTTTTAAAAAGAGGGGCGATCATGGTGGTAAAGCCGCATTGCGTTGTGGGAGGTCAGGGTGCACTACAGGTGATCAAATCTTTTCAGCGAATAAATAATAAGCACACGGAAAATTTGCATATGTAGTGACTGTTTGGGTGGGTATTCTCTAGTAGACCCAACCCACACTTATTGTGGGGCAGGAATTCAGATGAAAATCAATTCTGTTGACAGTTTTTTTAGTATAATTAAACCAGGTTGTAAAGAAACTGTAAAATATAATATTACACTTAAGGTATCTGTATACTTGTATTCGTTATTACACAAGTGCAAATGGAACACAGAAAAATGTAGTGCATCTGTGTCCCATTGGCCTCAGGGTATATGGGACACAGACACACTACATTTTTCTGTGTTCACAACAAATTTATTTCAAGGAAACTTGACACACAGTAACTATGTTATGGGGGCCTATATGTGCAAACGTGCCACCATTGAATTTACAGCAAACTTTGCAGTTGTACATTTTGCTTTAACATAAAAGTGGTGCGGAGTGTTACGTTAGAATAGCACATTTTGCAGGGTTTTATACAGTCGTGCAATACCCAACAATTGTTGACTGTTGACCGTTGTGGTGTGGGATATGACATTTGGAACATATAAAAATGCATAGCAGTAGTCTGTTTAGATATGCACTTACGGCTTTAATACCTGTCTCAGACTCGCAGAGAAACTGTACAGAAACAAAGTGGGACTCTCTGAACATTGCATGGTTTACTGTTGTTTTCCATTCAAGAATCAATCTCGGGTTGCAGTGTAATCTTCTCAAGAACAATTCTTTGTATTTGGCATTGTTATTCCAAAAGCTCATTTTCAACCATGTTTTAAGTAAGCAATTATTTTATTGAAACTCAAGGCTTCCCCAATAGAATTTAGGGGAGTTGTTGAATGTTGATCTTTGTTACAAATTTATAGGTTGCATGATTTTCCCACCTGCTAATCAGGCTTATCCAGCTCCATTAACAGTTGGACATAATGTTCGCACAGCAAACTGTCTGAAGGACATTTGCTCTGCCTGAAGACCTAATCTGTGTCCTGTGGTGTAATTGATATGTGTCAAATGAAATAGAGTAATTTGAATAAAATAATAACAAGCAAGACCATTTAATTTCAACACAGCATACATGTAAATTATGCATTTCTTTTATTATAGGGGCTTAAAGCCAACATGAAGCGTTTGTATCATCTGGTAACAGAGCAGCAGTTTGCACGGTGCCAAAAGCCAGAGAAGTACAAAAAGCTGTTGTTTGCTTTATGCTTTTTCCATTCGGTTCTCCTGGAAAGACGTAAATTCCAAATGCTTGGATGGAACATCATGTATGGCTTCAATGACTCTGACTTTGAGGTAAGAAGTTCGTGATACTTGTTTTATTATAGACTAAAGACTGGTCTTCTATGCTTAATGCAAGTGCATTCTGCAGTGATAAAGGCCATTGCACAGATTCAAAAGACAACACAGCCAAATTCATGTGCTTCACATGCGTATACATGTTTTTTGGCATAGACCAAAATGAAACGCTCATTTACTGATTGTGCATTCAGGTTATTTTGCGTATCAGCTTTGTTAACATATTGTTTAGAATACAGACACAGATACGCAAATAGCCATACAAAAGGTGTACAAACATTCAAGTTTTCCATAGGTTTGTGCAAAAATATGGATGTGCCCAGCACTTTCTTTATGAGTCAGTGCTCTAGGTTTTATATATAGCTCTATGTTTATGCCCGATAATAATTTTTGTAACGCTGCACAACATAGAGTACAACAAATGTTGAAGCAATGACTTGTGTAGTCATACCGTCTTTTGTAGGTTGGTACATAAAAGAGCCAAGTACAAAACTCACAGACTTTCCAAATTCTGTTAGCAATTTGATGAACATATCCTTTGATGCTACTTAAAACGTGTAGTTGTTCAAATTTACTCCCAGTTTTTCAATGGCATGGTCTGCCGAAAATTGTATTCTATCTGTCTCCATTTTGAAAAGTGTACATCCATTTAGCCAACACTATGGTACATACAAAATTAATTGATTGACGACACACAATAATAAATGTACCTTCAGTGGACCCTACAACATGTACTGAATCCGCCCTGAGCTGAAGTACACCCCCAATATGCGAAAGAAAGATGTTGTTACAAGCAGGTTCTTGCACGCTTTTTGTTTGTATGCAAAGACAATAAATGCCAGAGCAAATTAGTTACGCATACTCAGCGTGCTCAGCGTCAAACGCATATATAGTTGCTCACATAGAATTCACAGTATCATCCCTCTTTATATTGTGTACACAACTGGTTTTGGCTGGTTGATAATCCACAAATTGGGGCCAATCAACCAATGGCCCCAAGCAAAAGTAAAAATGTGGATGCCATAATATTTCATGTGGAAAACAAAACCACACCAATTGTTGACAGGGCACCATTGCAAGGCTACTTTATTATAAGCAAGTCAATGTCTGTGAAATTTACTTCACCCTGCTAAGTCAAGACCAGTACTATAGTACAGAGTAGCTTGACAATCAGGCTGTAAAGACTATATAAATTGTATACATGTGAATTGTTGTCGATATCAGTATGTGAGATTTGTGTGTCTCTCCCCCCGAATTGTTACATTATTTTCTTGTTATTGTCAAGGTGTCTGAAAATCTTTTGAGTATCTACCTTGATGAGTACGATGAGACACCATGGGATGCCCTCAAGTACCTGATTGCAGGGGTTAACTATGGAGGTCACATTACTGATGACTTTGACAGGCGCTTACTCATCACTTACATCAATGAGTACTTCTGTGAAGCAACACTTGCAGCACCTTTTTACAAGTAAGTTCATCATCTCTAAAGTATCAGTCTTTGCTTGGGTAAGATGGCATGTTTTGCCATCAAGTCGCTTATGATAGATTCCATCTTGAGTAGTTATTTTCAATTGTTGAGAGGACTTCCTCTCAATAAAAGACATATTAAAATGGACCCTCTGTTTTGAGGCATGCGATTGCACCTGCACACCACCGCACACCTAAAAGCTTCCCCAAGTGTGATTGCACTTCTGAATTCTCCCTGCTGCATGCCTCAGCATACATTTGTGGTATACTCTCACTCCATTATTTGTCAAATAAAATTACAGTGGTGAAGGCAGAAGGGAAAAGATCAAACAGAAAATTTCTATTTCTCATCGCAAAACAGCTGGGCAGTGGCGGCGCAGCACAGCTTCTGTTTGCCAGCAGTGTGCTATGTTGACAGCACCTGTACCAGAACCATGCTGAGCAAAACTTGTGAACTTTCATACCATTGGCCAAAGCTGCATTGTCACCACATCACACAAAACACAGGCAGGGTCTTTACAAGTGTTCTCAACAAGACAGTACAAGATAATTGTGTACTTGCATTGAAGCTTGTTTGATGGGAAGATTCTCAAAGTTTTCAGTGTACAGCATACAGTACATTTAAGCGGGGGAGGGTACAGAAGATATTCATTGGGAACAAATTTAAGTTGAGTGAGATCATGGCAAAAACTACATGTAGGGCTGGTCAGTAGTTTTTTCATCTATCGCAATACTGCAGGTCAGTGTAAAGTGTACAGTTATTATAATGCTTGTAAGCTTGTTGCATTTGAGGTCCAAATGTCAGTTTCACAATAGGTTAAAAGGAAGACTGTCTATCAGGCCCAAATAGCAAAATATACTTAGGTCATTGTTACAGGATTAGTGAAGCGCCAGCCTATGAGATTCTGATCACATGACCACTTGTTAATGGCCACGTCCACAAAATCAGAATTGCCTAGAAAACAATACTGTGATTTATATTTCATTTTTTGTTCTTTATTCATGCTTAACCAATTTAGTGACGATCTAAGTAAATTTTGCAATTTGGGTCTGATAAAGACAGTCTTCCTTCAAAGAGTAGAAATCTTGTTAGTATGATAACGTAAGAACTTCAACTTCAATTGGCTTGTGGCTTGCTCTTGACGATCCTACCTGGTAGGATCTAAAAGGTCAGGGTCAAAGTGACTGAAACAATAAAAGTCTTGTCAATACCTTTGTTGTAGGTCTCTAGGCCGGCCTAGGTCTTGAGACCGGCCTCAAGACTGGTTTTTGGCTATCTTGGTTTCGATACCCAGTAGTCTTGGGTCTTGATCTCAGTCTCGGATATTGGAGTTCTCAATATTCTCCCTGGTCTCGCGTCGAGCCAGGTCAAAAAACAGATCAACACCATATTATGCACCACCTAATTCACTGAGTTGTTGCTGATCATAGTTGCAATCATCTCGAATGGAATCAAAATCAATGCCCTTGCATTAACATTAGGAAAGCAGAGCTAACATTATGTACTTCATGTTTTCACCCTCGGATTTACCAGTTTGCATGTGCAAAGTATGACTGTACAATCATCATAAGCACTGCAAGCAAGTACAAATGTTGTGGCACATACTACACAATGTATCCATCAGTCAACCAAGTATTTTGATGCAAAAGCAGGGAATATAAAAGACTCTACAGTATTCTATTTCTGTCCCCCTAGTAGTGCAACAAAGATTTCAGAAAGATGGGGAACTCACTCTGCATTCACCAGCAAATGCATACGAGCAAGACAAGAATTTAATAAATTGCTTCCTTAAAACTGGACTATTGGATATGTACATGTAGTAACCATTGTGCTGTTAGATTCAGTTTGTTTAGGTTCTGCACATATTTGAATAATGAAATTTAAACACAAGGACCAAAGGTCTTGGTCTCGGCCTCAGATTGTCAGGTCTTGGTCTTGGTCTTGAACCTTAAGGTCTTGGTCTCAGTCCTCCTGGTCTCAGTCCTCCTGGTCTTAGTCCTCCTGGTCTCAGTCTTGGTCTCGGTCCTCCTGGTCTCAGTCTTGGTCTCGGTCCTCCTGGTCTCGGTCTCAGTCCTCCTGGTCTCAGTCTTGATCTCGGTCCTCCTGGTCTCAGTCTTGGTCTCGTTCCTCCTTGTCACTGGCTTGGTCTCAGTCCTCCTGGTCTCAGTCTTGATCTCGGTCTCAGT